CACCAATGTCTTCGATCAGTGGCTGCTCAGCAGCGTCGTCATCTTCGTTACAACTCGCAACGATCCGATTCTCGCCGGGCCTACCGCCAATGGAGATCTTCCGTACGGGAGAGTGGGCACATTACCCTGGCCCACTCCCCCATCCCCCCGAAAAGGGTACAAGTTAGTGCACCTCAGCTGCATCGTGCGTTTCCTGTTCATTCACACGTGCCCACTCTGGGCTCGCGCGCTTACCTTTTTCACCAGCTTGTTTCCCGCGACAAGCTTGATCCTCCGAACATCCGGGGAATGCAGTTTCGCTACCCCTTCCCTCGCCTGTGCCTCCACACTTGGAACGTGGAATCTCTCATCGGCCATGGACGGCTTGAGATGTTGGTGCACGTTTTGCGCAATCTCCCGCTCGGTATCTTCTGCTTGCAAGAGACCAAATCCACCCACTGTCATAGTCTTCAAGTATTGGGCTGGCAGTTTTACTTTTCGGGCACTCCTACTGAGCCTCACGCTGGGGTCGGCTTTGCTGTCCCTCCGGCATTGCAGCCCTTGGTCCACGATTTTCGGCCACATTCCGGCCGTGCAGCGTCTCTTGTACTTAACACACGACCGCGTAAGCTCTCCCTTTTTTCCGTTTATGCTCCCTCCCAAGTTTCCGATCACGAGCTTGACCAAGTCCGCAAGCATTCATTTTGGTCGGATCTCCTGGACGCAGTCCCTCCAACTTCTCCGGGCAGCTACACCGTCCTCATGGGGGATTGGAATACCCGCCTGTATTCCAACCAAGTCAGAGGTGGTGACTACTACCTTGGTCGTCACTTCTTTAGTCTTCCCATTCCTGATGATCGTGTTGAGTACACAAATTTTGCTCATATGTTTGAGTTTCTCCTGGACCGCGAACACTGCATTGTTTCGTCCATGAAGCCACGCCAGCCTGCCACTCAGGTGACGTACCGAGAGATCAACTCTCCTCCCGATGCGGATCCTTGCCACCCAGACCCAGCGCATTTTGCAGTCCTCGATCATGTAGTGGCTCCCATCGAATGTCGTTTTCTTTTTCGTCGTATCTACTCTTCCCCTCAGGTCACACTCCCCTGGTTCCATCGACATTTTCTCCTCTCTGCCTCTCTTTGTTTCCCTGGTTTCGACTGTCCGCCCAAAAAAGCCTGCCCGCCTCTTCGCCTCATGGATTCCAATGCCACCAAGCTTGCTTACCATTCCTCAATCTGCCGAAAGCTTTCGGAGTTGTCAGGGGTCCCAGTACCCACTTTTGTGGAGCCGGCGCCTGGGTCCTTGATTATTTACACTGATGGCTCTTGCCCCGATCAAGGAAACGTTGGCTTTGATAATCCGGCCGGCTGGGGGGCGTATGTGGCTCTACCATGCGGAGCTTTTGTCGATCTTTTCGGACCCGTTGGTCTTGGCCTCCCGTTTGCCGTGGTTGGGTCAAACAATACTGCTGAAATCCAGGCTGTGATCGAGGCGCTTGATTATGCTCTCCGCACCTATCCCCCAGGTGTGTCTGTGGAACTACGTCTTGACTCTCAATACGTGTTGGATCTGCTGCTCGGCCTTTCCACCCCGTCCTGTCACCTTTCTCTGGTCTCCCTCCTTCAAGATGTGTTGTCGCTTGTCCAGCTGTCCTTCTCCGTTGCCCTGACTAAAGTCAGGGGTCATTCCTCTGAACCGGGAAACGACCGGGCCGATGCGAATGCCTTTAAGGGTGTCACGTCATGCAGTAATTTGGGCCGTTTTTGCTCCACTCCCCCTTTACCACTTCCACTCTCTGCACCTTCTCCTCTGGCAGACTGGTTTGCTGCCAAGTCTGTCTCCGAGCAATCCATCCTCCTTTCAGATGTGGTCAAGTCCGCTGCTGCTGTCTCCCTCCCGCTGCGCCCTCCTTTGGTCAAGCAGCCTTACCTCTCTTCTGATACCATCTCCCTTTTGACTAACCTCCCTCGTGACCCTGTAGAGCTTCGGGCGCATCGTCAGGTTATCCGTCGTCGTGCGAAGCAAGATCGTCGCAGCTGGACGTTGTCTCGTCTCACTGCAGATGATGGTGGTGGCCCGGCCGACCGCTGGCGTACAATTCGCCGACTCCGTTCCAGGTTTAGTCCGCGCATCTCTGCAGTTCTCCGCCCTGATGGAGTTCTTTCCGTTTGGTGTGCCTCATCCTCGCCGCCCCCTGGCAACACTGTCCTGCATGATGTTGCCTTTCAATTTACCCCTTTCTCTAATGCGGATCTTCAGCGAGCCCTTGCCCGGCTCAAGTCAGGACGTGCTCCTGGCCCGGACAATATTCCTTCGGAGTGGTGGCGTTGTACTCCGCGGTGCTTTCGATTGCTAATTCTGCATCACTTTAATTCTGCTCTTCTGGGCGCGCGCGCGCCTGATGTCTGGAAGCTGGCCAAGGAGTTGCGATGATTTACAAAGGTGGCAATAAAGATAGTAAGCTGCCCTCTTCTTATCGTCCAATCTCTCTTGCCAATACAATTTATAAGATCTATTCATCTATGCTTCAGCATAAACTCGCTTCCTCTGTCGATTACTTGATTGGACCTCGGCAGTTTGGATTTCGCTCTGGCCGCTCTGCCAGTGAACCCCTTTTCATAATCCGTCGTCTCATTGAGCTGTTTGAGCGGCATACTGCCCCCCTATACATTTTGTTTCTTGATTGGGCTCAGGCCTTTGACTCTGTTGACCATGCTTATGTGGAGTCTGCTCTCTTCCGCATGTCCGTACCGGAACCTCTTGTCCGCGCCATTATGGTCCTTTATGATGATTGCACTTTTTTTGTTCAGGATGGCGACCACAGTTCTGACGTGTTCGTGCTCCAACGGGGTATCCGGCAGGGCTGTCCGTTGAGCCCTTACCTTTTCATCATTGTTCTTAGTGTCCTCATGCATGACTCCTCTGTGAGTTTCCACCGCCGTTTTTCATACACCCCTTGGACTTATTCCGCGGATAACCCGCTGACTGATCTTGAGTATGCTGATGATACTACTTTGATTTCTCGGTCTCTTGATACGATTCATCGGCTCCTTCACGTTCTCCAACACGAAGCTCTGAAGAGGGGTCTGCGCCTGTCTCCCTCGAAGTGTCAGCTACTTGGTATCAACACGGACAACCCTGTCTTCTTGTCAGCTACCGTTTCTACGGTTCGCGAGTGTCGCTGCGTTTTTTTTGCTTTGGAGATGATCCTCTCGGCACTCGTGTCGATCCAGTTGACACGTCCAAGTATTTGGGATCGCTTTTGTCCTCGAATGCTTCCTCTCAGGCTGACTCTCGACATCGTTATTGTCAGGCCTCCGCAGCATTTCGTTGTTTGTCCCCCTTTTTTCGTCACGCCTCCATCACTACCCCGCGCAAATTGCAGGTTTATTCCCAGATTGTTCTGGCCATTCTTCTTTATGGCTCCGAGTCTCAGGTTTACACACCCGCCCAGCTCACCCGGTTTAACTCCCTTCATTTCAAGGCTCTTAGGCAAATTCTAGGTGTTAAAAGCAGCTTTTTTCATCGCGTTCTCCAGCCTTCTGACGAGCTGTGCTCCAACGAACACTTGCTGCGCTTGGCCCACGAGCAGGCTCCCAGTTTGCGTGCCCCTACCCAGATTATTTCCCAAAAGCGTATTGAATACCTTGGTCATATTCTCCGACATGCGAACCAGTATGAGCACACAGTTTGTTTCTCATCCGCCCATGCTTACCGACAGATTGCCTCCCCTTACCGTCGCGGGGCTCCACGTGCTCACTGGCCTGAAGTTGCCATGACAGAGGCCTACCACCGATCTCTCCTTCGCAATGCTGGCTCCTTTCCTTCGCCTTACGATCTTGCCCATGATGCTTACCAGTGTGGGACCTTGTCCATGGTCAAACATTACAACGGACACTCCCGCTTGGTTTGATAATACTCGGATGTGGCGTTTACTCCACCCTCTTGCTCAGTCACGTTCCCAATGGAAACTGTTGTCTTTTCCGAATCGACGCAGATGATTTTTCAAGTGCACTGCTGACATGTGTTCTGCTTGGGACGCATTGCGCTGTTCAAAATACATACATACATTACATTACATTACATTACATTACATTACATTACATTACATTACATTACATTACATTACATTACATTACATTACATTACATTACATTACATACATACATACATTACATACATACATACATACATACATACATACATACATACATACATACATACATACATACATACATACATACATACATACATACATACATACATACATACATACATACATACATACATACATACATACATACATACATACATACATACATACATACATACATACATACATACATACATACATACATACATACATACATACATACATACATACATACATACATACATACATACATACATACATTACATACATACATACATACATACATACATACATACATACATACATACATACATACATACATACATACATACATACATACATACATACATACATGCATGCATGCATGCATGCATGCATGCATACATACATACATACATACATACGAGAGAGGGAGATTGGGGAGAGAAACGACAGAACACACAAAAAAAACAAGCAAGAGAGGAAGAAGGAGAAGAGGGAGAGGACAATGTCAGCGGACTGAGCCGGAGGCTCTAAAGTACCATTGTTGGTTGACCTCTCTAAACGGGCAATCTGCCGAGTCGGCCAGTCATGCTACCGACCAATTGCATGCGGGAAGCAAACTGTCAGAAACCCCACAATCCTGTCACCCACTCCTCCTCCCCCCCACAAGAAGAGCAAACAGGGCGAAGAAACAGGAAGCCGTGTTTTTAACAGCTTGGATTCAATCGGATCCCCCCTCCCCGCAGCGAAAAAGATCAAAGTTAAATCGCCGCTTTTTCCGCTTCAAAGGGCCCTGGGCAGGTTTGCTTCGCCAAGTCTTGGCCCAAGCCCGGCCAATGCTGGGGGGATCCTGGAAGGAAGAAACGGCCCGCGGGAAGCGCGCCTGCAGCTTGAGCAGGTCCCCGTGGGTCTCGTTCAGCGGCCTGGGGCTGCTGAGGTCCACGAACTTCGCCCACCTTGCCGGGTGGGTCACACGAGCCTGGGTCACGGGAAGCCCCGAAGCTGACGATGAAAACCAGCAGAAGGGGCAACTTGCATAGGTGACCTTTTAGGGCAAATACATGGTCCTGGTGGATGATTAAACCACCAGGTAAACCAGGGTCATCGATTTTTCCACCAAAACAACCAAAAAGGACATGGCAACTTGGGTAATTGTCATCGGGGACTCTTGGTGGACATCAAATTAAACTGAGGGTGTCCACCCACCATTTGTGAGGGTGCTCCAACCATTTGTCGTACCCACATATTGTGTGCAGCTATACTTTCCACAAAAAAAATGACAAACAAAAAACATGGGGAACGAGGTTGGGCCGTGCAGGTGCAACCTAGCTTCAAATCATGAAATCCTCCAAGGCAAACAAGACCTCCCACCATGAAAAGCCTGCATGTCTCTCAAAGTAACCACTTTTTCGTCTGGCTCTGAATGACCAACCGCTTTCGGAAGCTTCGTTCTTAGGGTGAGCATCTCCCACCGCGCCTGCGGCCCCGCTCCGAGTCCAAGCCCATGTCCTTCTTCCCGGGCAAGGAGCCCTCGGAAGTGCGTGGAAAGGGTCAGAAAGTCGTCCAAATTTGTGCGCCAGGTGCCCATGGCGGAGGCTTCTCAAAATAGGGGACCCCCCTTTTTTGGATGGTTGTAAAGGGAAAGAAGAAGGAAGCCACCTGGATGGGTCCCCAATTTTCAGAAACACCCATGTCTTGAATGGCTTCTTTTGGCGGCACCGATGCTCCCGAGCCTCAAAGAGCTCAAGGTCAACTTGTGCCTGGAGCTCAGGCCGGCCGACCTTTTCCAACGCGAAGAAAACGCGAGGAATCGGATCCAGAAAGATTGACCCAGACACCAAGACGAGCAGTTCCCTCTTGGTCCCCTTTGGCATTGCACCAGCGGCGTTCCATGCCAACGGTCCTCTGGGCTGAAAGGGGTGCCAAGCCGCTCGCGATGCTCAGAACCACGACCAACCCTCTGGCGTCGCTCAGAAAGCTTCACCCCAGACCCCGGCCGCAAGAAACGGCGCCTGCTTCACTTCCAGGCTGAAGTCGAACATGCTGGCGCAGATGTTCTCAGCGCTCCCGACCTCAGGCGAGGTCAACCGGAACCCTTGGGAGAGACAGCCAGAGCTTCAAAGAAAATGAGGGAACTATGTCCCCCAACCACGACAACGAAACAACTTGAAAATAGTTGAACCAAACTGAAACCAGTGGAAAGGCCGGATTTGCTGCGGTCTAAATGGCTGGTAGTCCGTTGGTTTCAACTTGGTTTGCCGTTGAACCAGCCCAAACATAACACCCAATAGTTCGTGGCGCATCATGAATCAGGCCGCTACATGGCTCCCCAGGAAAGCCAAAAGCAAACTTCACCTGAAGAGGTTCCCCAATATCGAGAAGCATGTAACTCACTCCTAGGTTTGATAAAGTAAAGAGTTTTTCCAGGTTGACCTGACGGAAACCGTAAGGGGACAAATGGTTCCTGCCTTTGCTAGGCCTCTATTTCCCGAGGCAAGAAGCTTCCGTTCTTGAGCTGAGCTGCATTGAGCGACCTCTTGGAACTCTGCAAACTGTTTTTGATTCAGCTGTCAAGCCAATTTGGCTGGATTGGCGACATTGCCACCCAAAACACAAGTTTGCACGGCACGTCGCGAATTGCAATGAGCAGCCCAACTCCTCCATTTGAGATTCGGCATGCGTCAGGGAGCTGAGTTTGGAAATGCAGCCGCCCGCGTTTTCGGCCCCTTGCGCGTTTTCGGCCCCTTGCACGTTTTCGGGGCTCGGTCCATGTTTCCAGGTCACGGGCGGGGGGGGGGGGGGATCGATCCGACCGATCCGACCGATCCGACCGATCCGACCGCCCGGGGCGGCGGCGGTGGCGGCTCCCAGCTGCGGCGCCAGCGCCGCAGCCACCACGTCTCCATAGGCGCGGCAGAAGGGCAGCTCCGCGTTGCCCACCCTCGCCGGGGCGAAGGGCTCATGCACATCTAGGTACTCCAGTAGAGAGGTTAGAATAAGGGTACCCGATTTTTTTCTGTAGTCTATTTAAGTTGGTGAGCCCGAATGCGACACCCGGTTATTACTCAACTGAGGGGTTGTTCAAGGCTCCTGGGTTCCCGGTTTCTAGGCGAAAAGGTTATATTTTCCGAGGCTGTTTCAATCCTCCCAAAAACACATTCTTGAGGGAGGAATTTTAGTAGGAAAACCCCCCAAACAAAGGGTAAAAGGGCAGTACTGGAGGCGTTTCGCAGTCACTGGTCGTTCCCTTAAGGGAAAATGGGGAACCCGGATTCATCAACTGGCCTAGGGTGACGTTCCATATAGAGGGAAGCCTTCAACTTCGCTCTTGGGGGGAAGCATCCTCTGATGGCTCCAGGTTGACTCATCTGGGGTGTTCGGCCTTGTGCTGTTGGGAGGTGGGATTCCATACCAAGAGGCAACAGTTCTGGCTCAGCAGGGTGTCCACTACCCTGCCAAAAAACCACCCCAAGCACAATTGGATACACAAGCACAACATTGTAACATAGACGCTTCATCTAAAGGTACATATTACATATCTAATTTGCGAACATACTTGACACGCCCACCCACCCAACCCAATCGAAGCAGGCAACCAAAACGGAGATGTATAGCACCACTGGTGACGCCTCGGGTTCACCCCCAACACAACGCACCATGAAAGGTGGTGCATCCTACAAAGCTCTTTCCAAATGGGGAACCAAACACCTTCGCCCACCGGAATCTGCCATGAGGCCACTAGGATCTGAAATTCATGTTCGACAGTACCCCTCACCTGAGGTGAAACTCAACCCAGGTCAAGGGTGGCGAGCTGATCCATAGCCGGGCCAAGACAAAAACGTGTCAGTGTTCAACTAGCAGACCGATGTTGTGTTTGCTGTCAGCCTGGGCGCATCCCAATCCAAAACCGCAAACCCGGTAGCGACACGCTACGACTGGGAAAACCACAGCCATCTGGCAGAAGGATCTTGCGGATTGATTTGGAACCCTGTCGCATGCAAAATCGGTCACCGTGCCTGGGGCCGCAAATGCTCCCGAAGCTGTCGTACACCTCAACTGCACCCGGAAATGCTGCCCCGCCGAGAAGCCCCGCGCCCTGTTTCGAGCTTCTTTCGAGACAAAGTAAGTAACGCCAAGTCGAGGCATGTTAGCAAGAAGCTGTGTCCTTCCGAGGCTCCGCAATAAACAACCGACAGACAGAACCACAAAGCAAAAAGACGAAGAACGCGGACAGTGAATCCCTCCTGTGCTGCGGCCACGTCACGTTCTTCACGGACCGGTAGTCATCCTGGCCTGGACTGGTCACCGGGCGCCGCACGAATGAGTAAACGCGCACGATGGATTCCGTCGACCATCGCGCTTCGTAAGTCGACTCTGCCACAGAAATTGTTAAATTGTCTCCCTTCGAAAAGAATAAGCTCAGGTGACATTTCCAACTGCATGCGGAGCTCTTTTGTGGAACCCTGGTGAAACCCTGGTGGAACCCTGGTGGAACCCTGGTGGAACCCTCGTGGAACCTTACCTCAGGGCCGCCCCGGAGCCTACCTGGGCTGAGACCCCAAAGCTTCCAGCTGTTGGGGAAAAAACAACCGGTGTGTGGAGTTCAAACAGTTGCAAGTTCACAAACTGGGGAAGCAATGTCAGCCAGAAAAAAAAAGGAGGAAAAAAAACGCAAACAACTCTTTGTGATTGGAGAGGTCCCCAACACAAGTCTCCGAACAAGCAAGCAATATGAGCCGACAAGATTGTCTAACATATCGAACCGGGCCGCTTCTACCGTTGAGCAGCCTCCGTGCTACGTGGGCATACTAGCTGCTACCTTTTGTCAAGGCAAGTCAAAATTTAAGTGAGTACAGCATGATGCACAAGAATGTTCATTGCCATGTGTACGTTTCATGCCGCACACTTGGCATGCAGAAGCCAACGCATGATAGGGAATCATGGAGAGACTGGGCCCCAATGCTTGCTCATTGGTACCATGAAATTTTGACTCTCTCCTGTTTTCCAGCTGTTGCGCGTTCGGAGCCACAAAACGTAGGCCCCCAAGCCCGCCTTTGGAACATGCCAGACTGCTTGGCTTCCTCTCAGCTTTCAACCTAGTTCCGCGCCTTCAAGGCCGCCCGCGGTGAAGAAGTGAGCGCACTGCGCTACAAAGGTGGCCTGGCGCCGCCTTTGAAGCGGCGCAAAGCCGCGGTCCCCAAGTCTCCCTCCGCTTTTGCCCAGAGCTTTGCTTCTGGCCCATGTTTATCCAACCTCATGTGTAAACGGGTTCTCTCTACATGGGATTCCCCTCCCCCCCAAAAAAATGGAATGTACTCTTTCAAGCATTCGAAAGAAATCCGGATGTTGCACTGTTGCACCCGGTCCTTTCGACTAGCCCAACGGGCTGATGGGTTGGCTGGTTGGTCAGCTGGGTACTTGGAGACATAGCAAGCAAGAAACCAAAGGCCAAGCAAACAAACTGAGGTAAAAGGCACAACTTTGCTTTGCCGCCCGCCGTGCAAAACCATGGCAAAGCAACAGCTAGGGAATGGTGGAAGCAGCCTACAACATCTACTACGCTACTCCACCACGGTTGTTGTGCAATCAAGTTTTGTAAAGGCTCCTGGTTTCACTACACCACTGGCATATGAATGCAAAGCGCCCCACCTTGCTGCGGTCCAAGGGCTTGCCCATGCCATCGACACAGCTGACCCCTGTGCGCCAGAAGTCAATCAATCCGTGCGCGCCGATGGGACCCATGGTGAGCAAAGGGATGTTTGAGAACCGTGTCAGCAGCATGTATACCACTGGGCCTTCGGGCTTCAAACCCACACGCGAGTTCCATGCCACGAGAGAAAACGTAGGACGTAATGCAATGGTTTCATGAGGTAGTTAACCATCCACTATTGCCACACCAATGAGTGGAAACTAGCCGCTTTTAGGCTGAAAAGGCCGCAGGCTCATATTCATTCATGGAGGGTGCACCTCTGCAGAACTCCTTCCGCGCGAGCAGGACGTCCTGCGGATTAAGAAGCGAGAGGCCTGATGGCCTGAGCACCATCCTTGGCCTGTTTCAGTGCCGAGGGGCTTGGACCCAAACTGCCAAAGTGGGCCAAAGTGATATGACGCCAAAGGGTTCTTTTGCCAAAGCACCATCCGATGATTGATGCATGTGTGACCAAAGCATGAATGATTGCCGGTCAGCATCGGATGATTGACGCATGTGTGACTGATTGCCAAAGCACCATCCGACTCAAACTACACCCGGGCTTTCACCCCTTGAGCTTGACCGGTTCCGTACACAACGCGCTCCATGCCCATTGCCATGGCTGCTTTGGCTTGTTCTGCTGCCGCCTGGCCGCAAAAGGCTTGCAACGAGCGCGCCCGATGGCAACCCCAAGCCCACACCACTTGCTGGCGGCTGGCGTGCAAGATATGATTGGGGTACACAAACAATCCAAGAGTTCAGGCAACAGCAACCAGCCTCCGCCGAGTGGGCGTGTCCCAGGATGCTCTGTCCACCAAGTACACCTACAGTCGACCAAGGCGGCATCCACCAGCGCTCTTCCCAGTGTATGTTGGAGGGAGTCCCTTGCATGTTTCTCCTTCTCCAATCAACCGGAGACTGGTGGATCTGGCCAAGCCAAACATCAAAAGGAAGCTTCCAGAACATCATGAGAGCAAATCGGCCTTCCAGCTGCCAACAGGACCCAACTCCAAGTTTGAGCAATGCGTCGGCAAGAAAATGACAACCCGGCTATCCCAGCAAGTCAAGGGGACTTGCAGCCATCCTTCTTTGGCTTGTTCAAGATGAGCCCTATCAGAAGGGAAACCACAACAATCCTGCTTTTGCGGATCTTGCGGACTGAGATTGCCCCTGTTTGGCTGTGGGTCAAAAAGTACCCAAGATGGAACCCTGGCAAATGGAATCATGGACTAAAACCTGTGGTCCCTTGGTGGTTTAACTTTGACCCATAGCCATTTACCAGGACCTCCGAACAAATTTTCGCCCCAAACGGAAAGCTTTTGCCCAGTCACCGAGGCCCAGGCCCACCTCGCCGAAGCGGCACCCGCTCCCGCGGCAGAAGATGCCATTCCGGGGAGGCCTCCGGTGGATTTTTGTCGGTGTGCTTCAAGTCAGCGGATGGGCATTTGCTGGCAAACAGAAAACACACAAAGACAGGCGGCAAGCCATGGGAAAGAAAAGACCGGATTGGCCACCCAAAGAATTGTTTAGAAGTTCAGCTGCAACCTAAGTCTACCTGTGCTTTGTTTCTGGCTTCCGGGCTTTTCGACGCCGCGCCTGAAGCTGCGTCTACCACTCAAATGGTCTCCCAAAAGTAAACCGTCCAGCTTGAAACACCAGAATTCTCGCACGAATTCTCACGCGCCCTTGGCTTGACTCGCAACAGTCCGCGAATCAGTCACAGTCGAAATGAAGGGGCCGTCAGCCAAATTTGTGCTGTCCCAGCAGCATCATGGCGGGCAGGTCTTCCGAGTCATTTCTCTCCACCTCGCGGTCTTGATACCGTCATTCTGAGAAGATCCCCAAGCGGCCGCGAACCACTGCACAACCAGCTAAAGACAACGAACAACTGAACAACCAGCGAAAGAGGGAGTCTTGCTCTGAAACAAATTCAAGTGGCTTCCTTCTGGGCAATTCGGCAACCAGCTACCCAGCTAGCACCTGGAGCAAACCCCTAGCAGTGGCAGGCAGGCAGCGCCTGGACCACCAGGGCGGTGCCGAAGCACAGGTGACTGAGGCACAAGAGTCGTGCCATCCTGCCCGGCACGCATCGCATCTTGGTTCTCTGCGGGTTCCCTACATGTGAATCCGGCATATCCTTGCAAAGCTCATCCCCCGACCTAGGAAAAAGTTCCCCTACTTTCATTGGCTGGCTTTAGAGACCATTGATGAGAGAATGCAAGATTTCATCCCAACCACCCCTGAAAAACGAATTCTGAGAGCGGGCGTGCTCTGAAATTAAATTTCCCAGCATACCCTGCTGTCCTCCCAGTTTGTTGCCTATGGGCAAATTCAAGGATTGACTACATTCCCCAACCAAACCACAGTTTGTCCAAGGCAAAGCGCAGCCCCCAACCCAATCACAGTTTGTCCAAGGCAAAGCGCAGAGGAATATGCCAGGATGAAGGCAAAGTAACGCTGAGGCCAAACAGCAAGCAGGCACAAAGGACCCTGAAAAGGAACAGCCCAAATCGAGATCTTCAAAGATACCCTCTTTCCAATGGAAGTGCGCAGAACTTTCATTGGAATACCATCTTAGAAAGGCCCCCCCTGTCCACTTCCATGCTTTTTGGAAGGGCTCATGGAATCCACTTCCTCCATTTGAAGGGCTTCTGGCCCACGTCACTTTCCAGGACCGCCGTGTGCCCAGCCCCAGCCCGGAGCCCATCCATCGGCCGAGGCCCTGGCTTCATTGGGGCCGGCCTGCCAGACTTTTGGCGATGGCCTGGAAGGCCCTCGTGCAACTTGTGGCGGGGGGGAGGGGAGAGGGTGGGGGGGCCACCTGGAGCCCTAAAAACCCATGCCCTAAATGAAAGAGGTTGCAAAACAGACCCCAAGTGTCCATCATACCGGGGGGGGGGAGGAGGAAATCCTGGAGCTGAGGGCATGGGAGAAGCCTCACACGCGTGGCGACATAAATCCTTACAGCCGTGTTGGCGGCAAGGACCAAGGAACTTTGCAGCCTTGGGCAACGTCGCCTTAGGCAACCCACTTGCAACCATGGCAAAATCTTGGTAACAGGGAGTTAGGCAAGTTCCATCCCTGCCAAACCCGCAATTTACTTGCTTGTTTGCTTGCTTACTTACTTCCGAAGTGAAACAAAAACACACACACAAAAAGCCCGTGCAACACGACGCCTGCGTGCTTTTTGGCCTGCGGGCTTTTTGGCAATACCGATAAGCCTGTTGGCGATAAATGCCGTGCGAAGTCCAAGCCCCCTTTGGGGGGAAGACGCCCCACATGTTGAAACGTACCCATTGATGGGGGCAAATGGGGCACCAGGAAGATACGGGCGAACCAGCCAATTCTGCGCTGTGGTCTGACATTGTGGCTGCCTCACAGGCTGCTGCGCTTTCGCAGGATGTCCGCCATCAGCTCTGTCAGAAAACTCCGAAACAAACCTATGCTGACAGTGCAATTGCGCTGCCGCCCAGGCAGCGTCAAATATGGAACCGAACAGTCCTTAGCTTGCGCCATAGGAAACGATTGCAGCTCACTTCCGTTCAGTGAATGCGTCGCCTCAGTTGCCGAGTGCTTTGCACGACATGCGGCCGGAGCGCTCGATTTTGCCATCCTTGCAAAAAGAGACGGCTTCGGGAGTGAACCGACGAATGAAAGGCATGGCGCCGTTCCAAAAGCTGGCGCTTGAGGCCCGCGCTAGTCAGCGCTGAAGAAGCTCTGGCTGAAATCCTTGGCCTCCTGGGATTTGGGACGGGAAGCAACAGGCTTCGAAAGGATCCAAGCCTTCCTATTCGCCAACATGCCCCCCGCACCAGAGCCACCTCCGGCAAACGGCTGAACCATGTTTGTATGCTTGTTGCTCGTCTTTCTTTCAAAGGTATGTGTGGCATTTCTGCGGGTTGAAGATCTCATTTCGGGCAGCTGACTAGCCCCACAACAGAACATGGAATGTGGAAGGGGGGGGTTGTGAAGCGAAAGCGTTCCAAACCGAAGGGTGTTGACTTGACCGAACGATTCACGCCAGGCCGAGCCTCTGAGCGCAAGAGCAGAGTTTCATTTGCGAAAAGCCTCAAAGACTGGTTTCCCAGGGTCCCCTTGCTTGGGGCTCGGGGGAATTCGCCGCTCGCGGACCTTCTGCCACCTCCATCGGAAAACTTTGGAACGCCGGAAATGAGAGCAAATCCGAGCGGCTCGCCCGGCCTGGTTGCTGATCTCAATCCAAGGGCTGCCTTCCTCGGACATAAACTCCAAGAACCTCCGGTGAGGCGCGTTTGCCATCCTCTAAGATCAATGCCGCTGATGGAGGCTACATTGATAGTCCCATATGTCCCATTGAGGATTGGGGCCGTTACCTCACACAGCTGATGCTCAGTCTATGAGGGACACGGATCCCCCCCAAGCCCGCGCCTGCGCGCATACAGGGTCACAATCTGACCAAGATCCACGTCCTGGCGGCTGCGAAGCGGGTTTCGGGTTTCGAGCCGCGAGAAATTGCCAAGGTGCGGCAGCCAAACAGCTCCCACCAACTAACATGGAAGTGCACAGATCCTTCTACAGGGATCTGTGCACTTCCATGTTGGGTGGGAGGGTAACCGGGAAAAAAAAACAGTTCTGATAGCTCAGGAAAAGCAAAGCGTCACAGGAGCCAAAGCTTTTAGGATCGCCGGTCATTCCCTTCAGCGTGCACCGCTTCCTCTGAAACTCTTTGGCCATGGCCACGAGAAAATCTCAATCGGTGCCCCGCGAGCCGCTCCACTCTTTCAGGGGCCCGGTGGACCCGTTTGGCGGCGGCGAAGTCAAAAAAAAAAACGGGAAATTCCCAGAATGGGTCGCCCCTGGGTGGAAACATGGAAACCCAAAAAAAACCGCGGCTTGCCCCTGTTTATTTTCGAACACCGCCCCTTTGCTTCTGCACGCATGTTCCACTAATGCACCCAAATTTGCACTCCTTCAGCGCGACCTCACAAAAGAGGGCCTGGTCAATGCACACCAGGTTGGCTTCAGCCACCGCCTGCGCCAAAAAAAAAACACCAAGACCACCGTCGATCCATTGGGCGTGGGGCAAAAATCGGGCAACCCCCAACTGGAACTCTGGCAAATGGAAACATGGACTCAAACCTGCGGTCCCCTGGCGGGTTGATTTCGACCCATCCCCTTATCAGAAACTGAGTGCAGAGTGCGCATGGCATCACCCGCCCCGTTCTGGGTGCCTGAATCGAAGCCAAACCTGGGTGTAAATACTATGCGGAGTGAAGTGCAAAAACATGCGCTGGCACTTGGAAGCGGCGTGCCCAATGTCAAAAGCTGAGCAATCCAAACGCAACCCCTTTTCTGTCCCCCCCCCCCACAGACCCTGACACCAGCAGGCAACAGCAAATCCACCGAACAGGAATCGCTGAAGTAACACTTGCCACTTTCTCATTGAACACCATACATCAAAAGCAGGAATGCAAATGTGATAGAACTGCAAGCTTGCCATGCCTGTAGCCTATGCAAGGTAGGAAAAGATTGTTCTGTATGATCCTGGAGTGCGGTGCAACGCAGAAAGAACTGCTTAGACCCGCCCGTAGACAGCAACAAACGGTAACTTGACTAATGTGGGGTCTGACGATTGAAGGGTGAGGGATATAAGGAGAACCGCCCAAGCGCTTCTCCCGTGGCTTTCCTCTGAAAGCCAAAGGTAAAATGCTGGGATGGCCCAGCGTCAACGTGGCTGGTACGAGGTAAAAGGGGCTTGGGGAACAAGAGAAGCCACCCTGGAAATTGGCCCATTGGTGCACCTCGCACGGGAAGAAACCTTCGACCCATTTTGAGGGTGTTCCAAGCATCGGAATTCATATCCAACTGTCCCTGAACGCCACCGCTGCAAGAAGAGACTCGCACACTTCTTACCCAGCAAATCAAAACTAGATCATAAGGCTAAACATGCGCCCACTTGGTGCCCATTCCTGCTCTTTTCGGCATCTCTCGGGTGGCCTGCGCATTGCCCACGTGCGCCCAGGGACTCCAGAGCGCAACCTCGCAAAGGTACTCTCCCTGGCGGCTGGCGCCACGCGCGGCCGCGCCATGTGCCAAAAGACGTGACTTCTGGCAGTTTCGGGCTCCTGAGCTTCCCATTCATGCTGATTTTTCATCCCCCCCGCCTGCCTGCATCAATGGGAACGCAGGATTGAACATCCCCCCCCTGGCTGACCCAATGGGAACGGATTACTAAACACCTGGCACCTGGGACATTTCGTACAAGGGGTGTCTCCTCAAGAGGCAATCCTGCAGTCTTCGGGGAGCCGCCCTATTGATCCAGGTCTCGATTCAATCAGATTCAGAGAGCTAAAAGAAGACAGGCCTTGGACTTTTGGACTTTTGGTGCCATGTGGTTAGATGTCAACTCGTTTTTGGGGAAAAGCCCGACCCGCGCTGGGAGCCAAGTTGGGATTGACAGTGTCAAGTCGACTTCGAACAACCAGAAATGTCAAGAGCCTTTTTCATAGGGTACATTGCTGAAACCTGTTGGCACTGCAAGCACGGCATGTGCGTGTGCATGCGCGCAAGCGAGCGTGCATGCGTGCATGGGTGCATGGTGAGCGGGACTGCTGAACTCACCAGTGCGCCTATCTTTACTGGCTCGCATATATTCAAGCGACTATTGTGTAGTTCTCAGTTGTTCTTGGGGTTCCGAGCCATGAACGCCATGCAGAGCAAAATATGCCAGTGACAACTGGAAGGGAAGCTGCATACAGGATTACGGTGAACATGACGTTTATGGGTTACGGGGGGCCTCATCGCTTTCTCTGGGTTGCAAAGACGATATCCCGCTTTGCATTCGTCTTCGCATGGCGTCTGTGGCTCAAAGCTTTTTCTTACCCCCATCATAGCTGTGACTGACTGCCCATGAAAGAACCGAGGGGTGTTCCCTATCTCCATTAATCTCTCGCACACGGACACAAATCTTATCAAACAGTCACCACAATTCCAAAAGCTGAACTAAGGGATCCACAAAAAAAAGGACCTTTATCATGGTCAACTCGTTTCACCTGTGAGCTCGCTATAAAATAGGCAGAAATTCTAATCCACACCTCCGACAAGGACGACCTCGGACGACGACACCCCGGCGGCCCTCTCCCCATCTCCTCATCTCCCCACCCATCTCCCCATCTCCCCATCTCCCCATCTCCCCATCTCCCCATCTCCCCATCTCCCCATCTCCCCATCTCCCCATCTCCCCCCCATCTCCCCATCTCCCCATCTCCCCATCTCCCCATCTCCCCATCTCCCCATGTCTCCGGCTCCTGCCTGGCCGAGTATCTCAGCACACATCACACATGTCATGCAACAGCAAAGCCTCCGAGTATCTCAGGCCACATCTGCATGGCGACTTCCAATTTTTCAGAAGCACCCGCTGCAACTCAAAGGGCCGCCTGAAATGAACACATTACAACAAGTGGAACCAAAGGTCCTAAGGTCCCTCCTGCCGATCCCAAGTCAGAAGGCGAGCAATGCTCAGGAGCCCACCACGGTGTTTTCAGTGTCCTGCGTCGCAGTGGTAAAGGTGGTAAAGCGGCTGAGGCTCCTGCTCCACGCAAGCGAAGCATATGCAGCGAATATCTGCTCCAGCGAAGCATACGCAGCGAATATCTAAGAATCTAATACCAATGCTGACTCACATGCAGGAATTTCTTTGAGGAATTTCCTTTTGAGGAATTTCCTTGAGGAGTTTCTTTAAGACTTCCCCTTGAGGAATTTCCTTTTCTTGGCTTTTGGGCCGGCTCCCTTTGTGACATGGGAAGAAGGTGCGGAGTGAGCTGCCGCTGTCGCAAGGGTCCTGCGGCGTCCGTTGGTCAAGTCCTGAAGGACGTAGCGGATGACGCCTTTCTGGATCCAGAACATCTCGTAGGGCACATCAACCACACCTCCGCAACATGCACCGAAAAGTATGAGATGAAGAGCAAGGTGTTCACAACTTTGCGAAAGCTGGAGCTTACCCCCAGTCAAGTGGTGGCTGGCCACAAAGCTCATCCTCAAGTTCCTCACCATGAAACCTGCCCCTGGTGACGTGGGACATATTCCCTTAAGAAACCTCTGCTTACGCACCCTTCCGTTGACAGTAGGGGTACAAATTGTGTCAACTGACATCGCAGGTGTTCAACTCAGCTACGCATGTGCCTTTGAATCATCTTGCATTCTCTTGGCAATACATTTGGCGGTACTCAAAACACAATGGTTTTAGCCCCCGCCCTTTTTCGGCTCCAAATGTCAACCGCGAAAAATCAACCTGGCAAACAATTTCGGGGCTTTGCCTGAATGGGACACCTCCCTCCCCCTCCCCCCCCGCCGCACGTGACGCTAGATACCCCACTGATGCCCACTACACCACTTTGACCCCTAAGGCAAGCGGCTGAAGAGCGGATCCCCGGCGGCGAGGTCAAGGGAGCGCAGCACCTGCGAGCTCATACCTGGCAGCGCCAGCGAGCGGAGGAGTGCGGGAGGGGCGTTGACACTGGTTGGATACACCCCTCCTAGTTATGCAGAGGGTCTCCCAACGAGAGCACCCAAAGTTCGCGCAGAGGCTTCCCCCCCGTCAATATTCCCCTTTACACATCACCCCACCGACAAGAAAACCTGGAGGAGGTCTTTTGGCCAAGGCACTGATCAGGATGGCCTGACAGGCGCGGGAGGCAATCCCAGGGGGGCGATGGATATTGTGCAATGCTGATGAGACGCGCCAACCAAAGGTTGAGGGTTTGACAGTCTGAGGAGCGCAACCCCCAATGTTGCCTTTCTGTTGTGTCGCCTTGGATCCATGTCGGTGCATCCACGCCTGATTCATGGTATCAATCTGCTTGAACCTCGGCTGCGAGCTCAACACTGCGCTTCAATCCATGGGAGCTGCTTCCCGGGGGGGGGGGGGGGGGGGCTCGAATTCTGCAGTGACCCTTCAGATTTGTGCGTGGCTGGGTTGACGTCAAACACCCTGTGGGTGGAATGGCCATGGCCGCCTCAATGCAGAACCCTTGAAAATGGCACTCGGTATCAAGGTGCGAGGGTGCAATCAAAACGGCAGTCCGGGCGCAATGAAACGAGATCCTCGGAGCGCCATTCTAGTGATCTTGGACCAGCCAGCAAGCATCCTTTCCTTGTGGGAGAGCACCTGGAAGATCAGAATCTTCTTGAAGGGAGCCCCAGTTGTTGGTGGGAGGGAGTGAACTTTGACTTCAAGAAGCTAAACAAATAGGCTTCTCGCCGAGAGGCAGCGCATGGGCTTTCAAGCACCGGTAGTACGTGAAGAAAGTCAGCTCGTTCCTTGCGCCAGCTCGTGGGCAAAGCAAAACAAGGCAGGGTAGCAAAGGGCACTTCCCATGTCCAGCTTCCTTTCGAAGTGCCGAAGCTGATTCGTCAATGGTCACTGGCGGGTGGTCCGTGCGCACGCGACCCGTTCGCACCCAATAGGCCTTGTTAGTCGCTACTTGCCACGATTGGGATTGGAGGCCCCCTCTTGGGAGGCCCTTGACAACCATAGGCTTTGAACCCTCAGGCCCACGCAATGCACGACCAAAGAAACGTGGGAAGATAGCGGTGAAGGCCGAGATCTTGTCTTTGTTGACTTGTGGTTTGCAAACGGTCGCCCACACCAGGTGTTAAACAGAGGGTTCGGAAAATTGTATTTCACTAGTCCATCCCCTTCGGGTTTCTGTTGCGGGATATCCTGGGATAACCAGCACAACAAACAAGCACTCAGGAAAAAAAAAAAAACACGCAGATTGAGGTGGTACAGGTCCTCAGCTGCTCCGTCAAATTCTTCAGGATCGTAATCCTCCTAGGAGCCGGCGGTGTTTTTCGGTCTTTCGGATGGGTCAGAACGTGACACCCAGCAAGGGACATGGTACAAAAAGGAAGAAAGTAAGTCCCCTGGTTGGTGCCGGACATGTTGTGAGCCCCCCGAATGGGAAAAAACCCGGCTCTCAGGTTTGGACCGAACCTCATACTCCTCTGGGCCATCAGCGTGGTGCACCCCAACAGATCAAACAGCGGGGACAATCTCTGAGGCATGCCTCTGCCCGTGACGCACGGCTGCTCCAAGCCTTTGAAAGACAACTAAAACCTCAAGTAGCCTGGTGCGGGTGGATTCTGGACTGTGCCGAGTATCCCCTCGGGCACCCTCTCGTGCACGTTGGCAGTTGCCTCGGCCGACACGACGCAGGACACCATGGGGCAACAATGACTCTGACAAGGCCCGTGCGTATTCGATATAGCGCAGGACCTTGGCAGGGCGGGCAGTCCGCATGCTTAACTCCAGGCTCATGTTTCTGGAGACCCCCACTCTTTATACGAATGGGAGCGTCAGGGCCGCAAATCAGGGGGGCTCTCAAAACAAAATGTATCATGCCCATCATGGAAACTGCACGACAATTGCTTGCTCAACTCACCTCTCACCACCGCTCTGCACGCGAGAGTAGAGTGCGCGCAAGCCGCTCTGAAGCACAAGTCCCGGGGCACGTTCTGCTGCTTCAAGTAGCGACGGAGCAGCCAGAACCTTTCAGCGGGAACCCATGGAGGCTCTGCCATCGGAAAGAATCAACTGCTGCGGGGTGGATCTTGTGCCATGAAACATTCAGCCGGACTTCGGGTTGCTTATTCAGCACTTTTGGTCTCCCTTTCAACCGCACCCTTGCCCTTTCAACCAGCGTCAGACGGGTACCTCAATGAAAAGAAACACCCTTTTCCGCCGCCCAAGGCAAAATCATTGCACCAATTGTTGCCCCCTCTCAATGCAGGCCGTCGGCTGCTTGGACTTGTCCGCTTTCATGTTCCGCAGCTGCGACATCGAGCCCTCCGGCGTGTCAGACATTGCGCCGCCCCTCTATTTCCCTGTTGGGTGGTTCATTGACCTCCTGGGTCACCTTCCCACCTTTGGGCCTTTGGGGACGTCCTAAGGGACGTCCTGAAAGCCCATAGCCATAGCGAAGAGGGAGTTTCCGGCGAGCTCCCTCAGGCCGCCGCAGTGATGGAGCTGATGAAGGACGAGAAAAGCACCAAGCCGGCAATCAAGACCTGGTCCGTTCCGGGAGGGGCACTTCAGCGACAAACCGGCGGCTTTTTTGACCCCAGTGGGGTATACAGGCCACTTTTCCTGGGGGATAAATGGCTGCAAACCTCATGCTGCGGTTGCATTCCAAGGGGGTGGACCATTTGTGATGTTGCTCCCCCATCCGCAACGGGTGATTTAGATGGACCATCTCAGGACCCCCGGCAAGGATGGCAAAGCTGCGCTCGGCCAGGTTTTGCGGGTGCACCTCGGAAAGAGGTGGAGGCAACGTGGAGGGGGGTGCAACTCATATCACCCAGACTCTCTTCTGCGAACGTCCAAGAGCTGAAAGGAGCTGACAGGCAACTCAGAAGCTGCAAGGGCCAAACATGTGCCATCTCCAAATGAAGGGGTGCTTGATAGTACGTTTTGCGCGCTGCGCCTTCCAGGCAGGTCCCTTCAGACATGCAAGGCGCGCCAAAGAGGCCTGGTCTTGGACTAAAGTCCGGAAGGGTTGCCCAGAACGACTTTGCAGACAGAAGCCCGTGTTTCGGCGCACGCCCTACGGCTTCTTTTCGTCCTTTGGGCTTTGCGGCCAGAACTGTTTTCGTGACCTTTGCCTCATGGAGAAGACTGGGCAAGAACAAACTTGTGAATGCAAAAGGCCCATCCTCCTGAGCTCAACATACCCGGAACATCTTCAGCCCTGCGAGCCAACTGAAGATGCCAAATGGGTTCTGTGGCCACACTTTCGGACAGACCCGGGGCTGCTGCATCCATCGATGCTGGCGTAAACTGCGTCAAGGACCAGTGCAGGCTGGTGCCTCACAGGCGGCAAGGCTTTTGTGAGAACCCAGAAATGACAGCTTTGCCCCTCACAAGCTAAGATTACCAGAGGGTCAAATCCCGAGGCAAAAATCCCGCCAGGGAGCTGTAGCGGTATCCCAGGTTGGCACTATCTTTGCGCATGTCGTAGACCTGAGTCTTTCAGCCTCACAGTGTGTCCCGAATGGGCCGGAGCCATTTGGCCGAGAAGCATCGAGCCAGTTGTTGATCGGATCGCCCATTGTACCAAGCAAGTACCACGCAGCGGCTATGAAGTGATTCACCAGGAGAAGCATCACCTGCGGGGCTTCGCCCTCCAGCCCTCAATCAAAATGGGCGGCCAGGGCTGCTGGGGCCACCACGATCAACTTGCAGATGTTCACCAGAATGAAGACTGCCTGTGGAGCGCCCGCCAAACTCCCTCAGAAACGGTCCCCAAGTCTGTCAATTCCTCGAACCGTGCCCACCCCCCCTCCCAATAATGATAATAATGCTAATAGTAACAACAATATATATATATATATGTGTGTGTGTGTATGCATGCATGCATGCATGCATGCATGCATGCATGCATGCATGTATGTATGTATGTATGTATGTATGTATGTATGTATGTATGTGGCATTCTCACAAGTACATTCTAAATGATGATTTCGAATGCAAACCGCCGTGAGACCTCTAAAGGACTCAGGCTGCCAAAGTGCCTCCGAGGTGATGCGATCCTTGATCATGGCTAGGATCCGCTTCAGCTTTACCTGACGGCACAGAGAGGATGCCCGAAACCGCAAGGTCCCCCCGGTCGCTACCAAATGCCCCAGTGCATGAGGAACCGGCCCGGTCTCAGGAGAGGCCACTCAAATGGCCAAGGTCGCCGCAATGAAAGTGGCTGGAAGTGGCCAATACGTCCCAGTTGCGATGACGAGTTTCTAGCTGCTCAATTGGGTGCTTCCAAGTTTCGAGGTAAACGTAGCCAGCCCCCCATGCCCCTCCCAAATTGAACCTCCTGACCTCCCGAAATCAAGCATAAACTAAGTGGAAAGTATTGTCAGTTGCGCATTTGGCCCCCAAATGAAGCAAACCAACCTGCCAACCTCCGGCTGAAAAGCTCGACCGGAGATGCTCAACAACAGGGGGGTGAACGCCTTAGGCCTCCCAACTCGGCTAGCCAATGGCCAGTTCTTGGTTTAGGCCGGAGGTGAGGGGTCCTAATCTTTAATTGTGGCCTGCTCAACAAAAAATCACTCACTGCCCCTCAGAAACCACTCTCAAGTCTCAAGCAAATCCAAACACTCCATGTCAACAGTAGCTATGCCAGGAGGCCAGTCGCAAAAGGCGCACCGTTCGCACCTGGGCGAACGAGATCTTGGGATCTTGGGAGCATGTGCGGGCCATGCGTGGAGCCACGTGAAAACTGGCCCACCGTCCGAAGGTGTAGGCTTGACCAAAAGGATGGCAAAGGTAGACAGGACCGGGGGGGGTGGGGCCCAGCCAACATGGAAGCTGTCAGAAGGCCACTGAAAGCAAAGCCAGCCTTCAGAATCCTTCATGGGAAGTGGTGCCCATGAAACAGTATCCATCAGGAGGGGCGGGGTCGGTGCATCTCAGAAGACATTTAATCCCATGCCTACCGAAGTCAAAGCGGTGCCCTTTGCTCTTACAGTGCCGTAGTCAAAACTTTGTTGGTTGCCTTCGGGTTGTATTTCCTTTGAAACCTCCAATTTTGACAAGCACGCGCGCATAAGCCACCTTCAAAATGACTTGTTTCCCTAACCTAAGAGGACATGGGAAAACGAGCGGGAAGTTGTAAGTGCCCAATGCCCTCCCAAATGGACCAGGGGCAACTGGTAAAGCGACCCAGGACACAACCCCCCCCCCAAAAAAAAACAAAAAACAGTGGTTTCCATTTGGTGTCCTTTTGGTTCTCCTTTCAATCCATGGTCTTCATGAACCAGCCGAGACGCCACGCGCAAAGAGCGCAGGAGCCGGTTCACCCCGCCAGGGTCCGTAGTCACGTCCACGCTGGACAGCTCCCTGGGCTTGGACTTCGGATGGGTTCAGGGCTAATGTTGACCCAGAATTAATAAACCCGTCCCATTCTGATTAGGAGGGTGCTCCCTCCAAAAGTGATGAATCCCCACTAAAAGGGGACACCCCCTATTAATCAACCAGGGGGTTATTAATCCGGGGTTAACATTAGTTGCTTTGTGGGTTGGTTTAGGGTGAAGATGGGTCTAATATTTGTAACACGCGTTGAAACCCTGGCGTTAACCACCAAAACTGCTTAACCAACCTTGCTTCTGTTTCCCCAAGAGACATTTAATTTCGGGGCTGGTTAAAGCGAGTCTTGCAAGCAACCCTGGTACTCACCCGGGATATATATATATATATATGTTTTTTTTTGTTGATCATATAATTTGGGGGGGTGCCCCGTCTCAAAGCGGACCGCTTTTGCGTAATTCGGGCTGACAAGGGGCGACAGTGCTAAGGTTGCGCCTCTGAACAAGCAGCCCCCCGCATTCCCTCCGCCTCAAAAAGGCCAACTGGGCCGTCATGGGTTCCCCTTGCCCCGTGCTTGGAGGGTAGCCAGCCTTCTGCCCACCTCAAACCCCACGGCGCGCTTCAGTGGCTGCATCAACTCCGCGCGATCCAAGGCACACGAAGGTGGATACCCAGTCAGGGCCGCAAACGGCCCTTACGTCGCGCGAGGCTCTTTCAGCGGAGCTGCAGCGCTTCAGCGCACCACAAGTTGACTGCTCAAACTTGGCCAAGCGGCATGTCCAGAATAAACCACGTTTTCCTAAGCGCGAATTCACATGTCCCTGTCGCGTGTTCCTGCTCGTGTGACCACGCAGGGGTGGCAGAAAGGGCCTTGGTAAGCCTCATGAGGCTAAGGGGCCATAGTTGTGCCAAACGTCTGTACGGTTCACAAGTCAGGGATAGGTGAGCAAGCTGGAATGCAGCCAAGGAGCAGGTAATTGAGACAGATCAGCCACGGACGAAACACGATTTCGCCTTGCAGAATCCGCCGAGGAATCGAACTTGCTCCAAAGTAAATAGAAGCTGTCAAGTCAAAACGGTGCCCCTGTCATAGAGGGGATGCCAAACAGAATCCCTGATGTTGACAACTCCGCCAACACTCCGTCCCAACAGAATGTCTGGTTTGTCAAATCTTTGGTCCATGCATGCAACCGTTCCTCGCCCTCCAGCCTTCAGAAACGTACCCCGTTATGAGGGACATGACAATATCCCAAGTCCAGAAAATCTGCGTAGTCCAATCCATCCTCAGATTTGGTTGGCCAGGCTTGCGCGCACAGACGTCACATGTTCATGAAAGTGGCCATCAGCACTAGGCAGCAGCCTTTCTGGCAGCGTGACCTGCTGTATGAGCTTTCCGGCCACCAGCAAAACTGGATTGCCAAGCCAACGGCAACGGCCGCACGCACGCACGCACGCACGGACGGGCACACGCACGCACGCACGGACGGGCACACGCATGCACGCACGCACGCACCCACACACACTCTTTAGAACAAGTCAAGGATTGCAGCTGCACCAAGCTGTGCCAAGCGGCACTTGGGTGAACGTCTCTGGGTCCTTGGGTGCACTGAGTGCAGAAATGATGTTGGTCTGCGCAGGTTACCTTGAAGCTGAAAAGACAAGAACTCTCGGGCAAGGAGCGGGATCAAACGCAGTGAGCGGGATCGCGATGATGTCCTCAGATTGCTTTAAATCTGGGGCGGTCAAGCCCATGTGTCAAGCCTTTGGCCCTTCTTGGAATGGGTAGTTTACTGGTTCGTCATGTCTTGTTTCATGATTATCTTGCTGTTTTGTTTTCCTTTTCTTTCGATCTTTCTTTCTTTCTTTTTCTTTCCTTTCTTTCTTTCCTGTTTTTTTGGTGGGGGGGGGGGGTTACAAGGAGGACCCCCCCCAAAAAAAAAACTTGCCATGTGGGAAGGTGGTTCCATGTTGCTTGCAACGTGTTGGCATTCTCAGCCTCGAACAGGGCCACGCCCACAAGCCGCTATTCGCTCGAAGCCGCCAGTGAGCTGATAATTAAGCTATTCGCTCGAAGCCGCTATTCGCTCGAAGCACTCCCGCCAGCTGAGCGGATAAGCCGATAAACCGACAAGCTGCTATTCGCTCGCAGCCGCCAGCAAGCTGATACTTCAGCCGCTATTCGCTCGTAGCACCCCGCTGAGCTATGCCGATAAGACGACAAGCCGCTATTCGCTCGAAGCACTCCCGCCAGCTGAGCATAAGCCGATAAACCGAGAAGCTGCTATTCGCTCAAAGCCGCCAGTAAGATGATAATTAAGCCGCCATTCGCTTGAAGCACCCCGCTGAGCTACGCCGATAAGACGACACGCCGCTGTTCGCCCGAAGCACTCCCGCCAGCTGAGCCGATAAGCCGATAAGCCGATAAACAGACAAGCTGCTATTCGCTCGAAGCCGCCAGTAAGCTGATAGTTAAGCCGCCATTCGCTCGAAGCCCCCCGCTGAGCTATGCCGATAAGACGACAAGCCGCTATTCGCTCGAAGCACTCCCGCCAGCTGAGCCGATAAGCCGATGTATCAACAAGCTGCTATTCGCTCAAAGCCGCCAGTAAGCTGGTAATTCAGCCGCTACTCCCTCGTAGCACCCCGCTGAGCTATGCCGATAAGACGACAAACCGCTATTCGCTCGAAGCACTCCCGCCAGCTGAGCCGATAAGCCGATAAGCCGAGATGCTATTCGCTCGAAGCCGCCATTAAGCTGATCAGTCACCCGCTATTCGCTCGTAGCACCCCGCTGAGCTAAGCCGATAAGACGAAAAGCCGCTATTCGCTCGAAGCACTCCCGCCAGCTGAGCCGATAAGCCGATAAACCGAGAAGCTGCTATTCGCTCGAAGCCGCCAGTAAGCTGAAAATTCAGCCGCCCTTCGCTCGAAGCACCCCGCTGAGCTATGCCGATAAGACGACAAGCCGCTATTCGCTCGAAGCACTCCCGCCAGCTGAGCCGATAAGCCGATAAATCAACAAGCCGCAATTTGCTCGAAGCCGCCAGTAAGCTGAAATTTCAGCCGCTCTTCGCTCGAAGCACCCCGCTGAGCTAATAAACCGATCAGCTGCTATTCGCCCGAAGCCGCCAGTAAGCTGATGATTAAGTTGCTCTTCGCTCGAAGCACCCCGCTGAGCTATGCCGACAAAACGACAAGCCGCTATTCGCTCGAAGCACTCCCGCCGCGAGCTGAGCCGATAAGCCAAAAACCGATCACCCCGCTGAGCTATGCCGATAAGACGACAAGCCGCTATTCGCTCGAAGCACTCCCGCCAGCTGAGCATAAGCCGATAAACCGAGAAGCTGCTATTCGCTCAAAGCCGCCAGTAAGATGATAATTAAGCCGCCATTCGCTTGAAGCACCCCGCTGAGCTACGCCGATAAGACGACACGCCGCTGTTCGCCCGAAGCACTCCCGCCAGCTGAGCCGATAAGCCGATAAGCCGATAAACAGACAAGCTGCTATTCGCTCAAAGCCGCCAGTAAGCCGATGATTAAGCTGCTATTCGCTCGTAGCACCCCGCTGAGCTACGCCGATAGGACGACAAGCCGCTATTCGCTCGAAGCACTCCCACCAGCTGAGCCGATAAGCCGATAAACCGACAAGCTATTCGCTCGAAGCCGCCAGTAAGCTGATAATTCAGCCGCTATTCGCTCGTCAGCTGGCATTCGCTTAGAGCACCCGGGGCTACGCCAATAAGCCATTCAGCGGCTTGTCGGCTCATGGGGGGTAGCGCAGCTCTGAAGCCGAGTAGCACAATGGCATTTTGGGCTTTAGGAAATTGCCGCCGGGCTGCGTAGAAGAGGAGCAGCATGCCGGTGAGATCCCAGGCGACACCTCAGGGGCAGCTTAATTGCAGTTAGGGCGCACTGCCAAATTGTAGTTCCTTTGGCGTCCCTATTTTTGAACTGAGCAACTCGAGTACCCTTGACAAAATGTGCACAAACTCGCACATATTAGGACAATACGGATCAAAGGCCCGATCGATTCCCTAAAAGTGGAACCACCCTGATGACTACCGACACCCCCTGAACAGAACTCAGCGGGTAATTGACTGGGGTTTGTGCTGTTGCATGAGGATCCCTCGATGGCGTGTCTTCTTCCATTTTAGTACTACAGCAAGCAGCCTGCAAATTCCGGTGTAGCCTTAACTCTTGGCAATGCAGAACAAGGATTCTGCGTTGGCCCTGCGTTGGCCCTGCATGGTTGCCAATGCCGGTCGAGGGGCGCAGGTGATCATTGGGAGACAGAATCAAGGCGCACGGCTTCCTCTCGCCCGAAGCCTCCTGAGCATCGCCAATGAGAAGTGCCAGCGATTGAAGCCTGTTTTTTGTTTATTGTTTTTCTGCTTGCTTCTTCACAGCATCACAAGAAGCCTTTACGTACCTTCATTGAATTTATAGCAAACCGTGGTGACATCAGCGACAACATGCTCCAGCCTAATTTGAACCCCATAATTATGCCGTGAGTGTGGTAAGTTTAGGTACCCCACCCCGTTCAAATGATCTAGGCCCTTGCATCCGAAAGCGCTTGCCAAACCTGCGGGCTTTGTGGAGAAAAAATCACCCAACCCGCCTGCGCGGCCTTCTTCAAGGACGAGTGGTGCACCACCCTACGCGAGGGGAGACGTCTGAATTCCTGAAATGCTTTCCTACTCGTGTGAAGTGTGCGTTCTTGACAATAGCTGCCGATGAGCCCCAACTTGCCATTGGCACTGCACCATTGTTGCCACTGGCGATTGCTGCGGTGGCTGGCCAGTTTTGTATGTTACAACAAGGTGTTGCCAACGCATGAGGGATGGTGTTCGAATCACCCCAGGGCCCAAGAAGGCTGGCTGCACCAACATGAGCCAGAACCTCTTTGCCAGCTGTGCCCCCTCCCTCTCTGCCGGGGCTGGCACATAATTAGAGCCAAGCTCCAAAGCAGTGAAACCCGTCTGAGGATCCAATGCTCAAGCAACATTTCACACAATAGAACACCCAGACTGATGAACATGAAAGCCCGCAATACTTGGAGCACTCTCCGCCTTTTTTAGTTGGGCGTCCCGCTCGTGTCGGAAGGCACCCGGCCTGGCCGTCTCTTCCTTCAACTCCTCGACCACGAAGGTGGGGCGCCTTGTGGCCGGTCAAGATCGGCCAGCCCACGCCACAGGTCGAGATCAAGGCCAGACAGACAAACAAAAGGCAAGGAAATTGGCATCCTCTTCTTCATCTTTTTTCTTTTTTTTGTTGCGGGGGGGAGCGAGGCAATTGGCATCTTATTCTTTTGTTTCGTGTATTTTCTTTTGTTTGCGGTGGGGAAATTGAAACCAAATGACGCCCAACAGGTGGTCAGATCAACATGGAGCCATGTGAAACCTGCTTCCACGGATCCAAGGCAAAACCCTCAAAACTGTGCTTCTATTTGACGACCTCAACATACCTCAACCCAAAGAACCTCCCCAACACGCGCAAGAGGTTCAAGCAAAGTTGTGGTTCGTCAGAGTCAGGCCCAGCCGCTGAAAGGCGGTCTTCCAGACCTCGCGCAGGGCCAAGTTTGCCAGGTCGATGTTGCATAGAGCCTGCGGGGGCCGGACCCTCTGCTTCCGAACCTTTGCCTGGGCTTTCTGAAGCCCTACACGTCTCAAGGCCTGTACCACCTGTGGACATGTTGAAACAAAGGCCCTGATCTTAGGACCAGTGCGAGGACGCAGTGCCGTAGGACACGGGTGACATTCTCACTCGATTTCAGGAAGGAACCGTAAGACCACCCAGACTTAGACCCTGCAAGAAGCTTGCGAGTCGAAAGTTTATGTATAGTGAAGGAAACCAAACGACGAAACGGCCGAAAAGGTTGGTCGAGTCCGTCAGTGATTGTGCATGACCCTTTCCCAACAGCCCTCCTGAAGTTCTCATCGCAGAGATGCGAACTTCTGCCGTCGACCCCTAAGGCAACCCTGTTGCACGATGTCCGGCAAGGCCTGCCTTCGGATGAGGCGGCTCAAAGGACCCACTGGAACCCACCCTCTCCCGCCGGATGCCAGCCTTCGTCCTGGACGTGGACAACCTGTGCGAAGTGGAATTGCGACTGAACCAGGCCCTTGTTCGAACGCGATGGGCCGAGGTGCAGAAAACCTGCCAGGAGGCCCTGGCTCCCTCTTGCCGAGAGAAACATTCTGAAGATACGTATCTATAAAAGGCAAGCCCTGGACCAAGGCATGCAAAGCACACGGACGCCTTCCACGGCTGCATCTGCCGTCTATAAGAATCTGATTGCTGCGGTTTTCGTCACAATGATATCTAAACGAAAAGCAAAATTGCAGGAAGCCATGGCCACGTCTCACCTCCCTGGGCTGCTCAGCAGGGGACCACTACTTGGTTGCTGTTGACCCCTCTGCAAAAAAGCAAAAAGTTCACTTTGTGTGGGTCCAATGAATTTAAAATCCCCTAATCCCCCACAAGTGAAAGTCCAAAGATCCGTAAAAACCACAAGGGAAACCTCATCTGACAGGATCGTGCGGACAAAATCGACAAACACGTTGAACAACCCAGCGACTTCGCCAAATTCAGCTGCCCCCCTTCGGGCAAAATCCAAAATCCCCCCCCCACCCAACCAGAAAACGACCCAGGGATCCCAAAACCGCACTGAGGCCCCCGGCGCCCGGTCGGGCGGCCCTGGCCGCTCGAATGCCTCGGCCTCGGCAACCTCCAAGGTCTGCGAGGTCTTGGGGAGAGCTTCCCATCGCTCGGAGGGCACGGCCTCAGGGCTCTAAACTCAGCTTCCTTTGAATTGGTGATTTGGCCATGGGTCAAAATCCAAATCGTACCCCCGAACATCCCAATCCCCACCAACATAGACTACAATGGGTGGTGCACCTACCCCAAAATGGAACCATTTGGAGCCCGGTGGTTTGGTGGTTAAGGAGGGGTTTCCCATTTACCTCTTCAAGAACTAGGGAATCCAAACCAACTAAGGGGAACCTGATGAATGGGGTTAAGAAGGGGAAAACCCTAAAAGAAAGTTTGAGAAGCCCTCAGAAGTGAAACTTCGGACCCAGAGCTAGGCTTGAGCCCCCAAAGCTTGCAAGGCGAACCCTATTATCTACCATTCTGTTGCATGGCGCAGGCAATCCGAGATAGGAACTCTCTGAGGCACTTGTTTAGGGAGGCCAATGTGACAAGTCACCTAGGTGGGCACCTTCCCGAATGATCAAAACCAAAGGCAAGCATGAAGCCGCCGGAGTTTGGCGCACCTTTTGGGGCCCCGGCGCCATCGTCGCTCACCTCCTGGCAACAGGATGTCACATGAAACAAAGCTGCTGATGTGACGGGGACCTGTCCAACACCTGAGCCATGAGCCTGGTTGCACTTGATGGGAATCCAGAATTCATAAACCGCCGTTGATAAACAGGCGGGTGGTGAACCAAAGAAACACCACCTGTAGAGCCCAAAGCGCTCACACGCGCTGATGGCAGGTGCCTGCTCTTCTGCTCCGAGGCCGGTCTGCAGCTGAATCCTTGGTGGAAAAAATGTTTGACAAACGACATTCCCACCCCCTCCACTTGCAAGAATCGAAATGGAGATCTTTGGAACCTATGCTGGTTAGGCGGCGGGTCTGGTGTAATTGAGTCGTCATCACGGGGGAGAACCGTAAAACTGTATAACCACTTTAGCCTGCGACTTGTTCAGGCTCCTGGTGGGTTCCATGTGGGCGGGGCACCAAGAGCATCAAAACCCGCCCAAATTCATGGAAGTGAACAAGGTTTACAACCTGTCCAGTTCTTGGACAGTTCTCCAAAAACTCCCTGACGGCGTTGATCTTTGGAGGGGTGAGAAAGGCAACGCCGCTAGGAGAGGTGCTCCCCGCGAAGAGCATGCACGCTGCATCCTGAAACAAACGCCCGCCCTTTCCGCAGAAAGAGCAGGAATCTGCCTCACTCTGTGCCAAGATTCCGCAGCAGGGCGATTGCCTCAGCGTGCCGGTGCTTTGCCCGTCACGGGCCAAAGTCAAAAATACGGAATTTGGCCTGGGCTTCGTCTAAGTCAGCCTTCCCTTGACAACTAGCATGCCATAGTCAGGCTCCTCGAATGTAGAACGACTATTCCGTGGTCAGACTCCGCCCCACGTGCTGACCATGGCGCTGCCTCACTGCCTCCTCCCCTGCCCCCGGCGCCCAAATCAGGCCGAGCAGCTCTCTCCTGCGCCTGGTTCAGGGATGAAATCTTGTCCAGCACCTGGAATGGGGACCTCAGAGCAGCCACAGGTGCCCCACAGAGCAAGGCACCTTGAAGGGACAAACAAACTAACGGGAGCCAAATTAAATATATATATATATATAAATAGTTGAAATACGTATGAATATATATATATATATATACATGTTTACATATGTATATACAAAGGCTTATATATATATATATACATATTATAAGTATATGTGTACATATTATGCATTATGTTGTGTGTGTGGTGTTCTCTCCACCCGCTCGCACTGGCAGCTTGGACCTGGCCTCATTTACCACAAGCAAGCAGGCTCCAAGGCGCCAACTCCATGGCAGTCATCCGTCACCTCAGGTGCCCGCCCCCTGAAACTTCGGTTTTCTCTAGGCCTCCCAAAGTCAACCCCCCCCCCCCCACCCCCTCCCGCCGAAGCACCCCCCCCTCCCCCCGGCAAAAGGCAACAACCAAAAAAAACGAAACATCGAAAAACGGAAAATCGCTCCCAGCCTTGCTTGGTGAAGTCCGGACTTCCACGCCACGTTCGCGCCCGTTGCTTCTTTGCTGTGCTGTGTGTGTGCTTTCAACTGTGCCTTCTCACTCGGCACTTGCAGCCTGACGCGATCACTGCTGCGCCCCCCTGCCGCACAGCGCGGCCCGGCCCGGCTTTTTGGACCAGAAGCTGCGACGCACACACCGAAGACAAACACTCAGACTCACACACGCGAAGCGGTACTCCAATGCCACACTGACGTGGCATGCCTTCTTGGGAATCAACACGACACATAGGACTACCCTTGGACTCAAACCCGATGGCAACAGCAGCTTCAGAGTTGCGCCGGGCCTCGCGGGTGCGCAGGTGCACGAGAAGCGCGAGACCCGCACGCCCGAGAAACCGAGGGGTTGCCCCTCGAGCCAAGGGCTGCGGGGCTCAAGCTGCACCTCGCTCTGTAAAATGGAGGCCCCTCTCAAGGCGGTCCCGCACGGCAAATGGGAGCTCCTCACTCCAAAATCCAGGGGTGTGCATGTGGAAGCCTGGGTGACCGAGCCGGGCTCGCTCTAGACACCCTCTTTTGGCATGTTGAAAGCCAAGCAGTGGTTGCTTTCGGCGCTCCTCCAACGAGGCCGGGGGGATGAAAACGGGCTGGGGTGGGAGCCTTCCAGGAAAGCCGAGCGTTTGCCTCAAGATAAACCAAGAATGGCTAGAGGAGTCGTATGATAAATAAGTTGTGGCGTCCATTTGACCTTGGCTGACTCTCCATTCGATGTCTTCCTCCAGTTTTTCCCTTTCACGCAAGACACGCCCGTGGCCCATGGCCCCCCCCCCTCGCCCGGAAGAAGCGGGAAGCACCGGCGAGGAAAAGCAGTGCCACAAAGCAGCCCACAACCGTCCGCAGCTGCAGGCCCTGACATGAGAACCAATCAAAACCTGGCACTAAAGAACCAAGTCAGACTCGACTGGCGTTAGAATGCCCAACCGATCCAGGGGATTAAAAGAGTAAATGGGCATAAATTCAAGCGAACAGCTTGAAGTAATCAGTGATGTCAACACCAGAGAGTATGCTGGCCATCCGCCAGTACAGAGAATGTGTGAGTCACAATCAGGGCCCGGGGCGCAGCCACATAAAAATGTCAAGTAGGGCCTTGCAACCATGGCTTTGGTGACCACGTACCTGACGGCCCTTCCCCAAGAAAAGGTCCCTTCGCCGGCGGGGCCTGAGCGCCCTTGCAGGCGCATATATCCGTGCACACCTCGTCGATCCTGGCCCGCTCTGCGGTCAACCCCCGGGTCCATCACAAGCTGAACACTTGCCTAAGTGGAAACAAGCACAGTGGCCTAAGAGACCGCCCGCTCCGAAGCAAACAAGTCTAATCAAGCAACTGTCGTCAGTGGAAAACTCGCGCGGCAATAGCTTCCAAGCGCACCACTGACGTCATTTCGCTCGCATTTCGGGGAATCCGAATTTCCAGCTCCCGGCAGGCGCCTTCCGACCGCCAAACTTTCCAACTTGGCACCCTCTTACCCATCCCAGCCTGGGCGCCCATCAAAGAGTCTTGATCAAGTTTAGTCTAAGAAGCGGGGGGGAGGGGAGCCGTCCGGATTTTTGTTCCATCTTGTAGGCGCAGTGCCAACAAAGACTTCTTCAGTTGGCCCTGATAGACCCATTCTTGTGCAGGGCCCGCAAAGGGTGCCAACCTCTCGATGCCCGGCTCACTCTGCTCCCCCTCCGTGCATAGCTTCGCCTTTGTGGGTGAGACACCTCGTACCCAAGACACTCACTCACTCAGCTCAGCTCAGCTCAGCTTAGCTCAACTCGCCTTGCCTCATTTTACCTCACCTCACTACCCTGGTCACCGTTTCTGCGTGGGCTCTCGCATCCGCATTGACAAAAAAAACAGCCGAAGAGGCCGAGTGCCGCACCATGCCACCAATGGCCTCACCCAACCTCGCTTTGACGGCATTGGAATGCCGCTCAAGGAGTTCCTGCAAGATTGGACTTTTTGCGTTGAAGCGCTGAGGTCCCTTTTAGGAATGCGGCTTGTGTTGGAGCGTGGCGCCAATCAAATACAACCTGCCCGGAGTTTGTTTTTCCATATCCCTACAAGGATCCATTTATGGCATGGGAGGTCATTCCGATATTCCACAGGACCCCCCCCCCCAAACGTCAAGAAAGTGCTTCGTGTCGCCAAGCAGCATCCCCTGAAGACGATAAGCCCAACCTCCAAATATCCCGTAAGGCCGGTCAGGGATGTGTCCCTTAAACTTATCTTTAAGGGGTGGTTTTTATGCGGGGCGCAAAAATTCACAACGACTCCTGCCGTCAGAAGCAGACCCTTCGGCAGCTTGTGGTGCGTAAGCACGCAGATATGAACTGCTTTGATGCTTAAGCTCGCTGGCCTTACAGTAAGCGATACGGGGGAGGCACATGGCATGTTATTTTTCCTGACTCGTTGCACTTGCAGGAACCCGAGTTCCCCAACAAAGGATCATGTTCGGTGGGTATTGGGCCCCAGCATCTTAAGAAAGCGAGACATAAGGCTTGTACTCAGGAATGTTTCCTGTGAGGAGTGTGGTTTCGGGTGTGAGGACTATCTCGAAACCAACTTGTTGGAGGAGAGCCACTAGTTTAAACACATGTCGCTGAGAATGAGCGAGACAAAAGTCACAAACAACCTCAAACTTGATTTCGACGGCGGGATTGGCGCCACATCCGTTGGTGTTTCAATCCGCTGAGCCACTGGCATGCTGCCCAGAGCACTCCTTCAAGAACCGCTCGTGAAGCGACTTGGCCTTGACTCGGTTTTGGGCTGCGCAAAAAGGGCGTTTTGGGCAGCAAGCTGGCATGAGTCATAAGCAAGGCCTGGTGTTAAGATGGTCTACATCCCCCGTACTGGCCTACCCAGCGCCAAGAACAATGAGGCTGCTACCCGGGTTTGGAGCTGTGGCTCACATGCAGCCGGCGCAATGCAGCGTGCGATTGGGATCGGGGTTCGCTTTAGCCACTGTTCATCGGTTGCATCATGGTTGGGCAAGACCGGCTTGAACAAGTCATGGCCCCTGTTTTTAGTGCAGCCACGAGGAGGCCTTTTTGAACACAGCCATTCTAATGTGAATAAGGGGCTGGCCCAATATGAATATCATGCCACTTGCGAGGGGCCGGAAGGCAAACACACACTTGCAGGAACGGAATTGTGAGAATCCGGCGCTGTGCTTCCCCCATATGTCCCTTTTCATACACCGACCAAGAATCAAGACCTGCAAGTCGTTTTCGCATTTCTTCGCAAGGCTGCGGGTCACGTGAGAGCAAGCAGCACCGGTCGATCAGACGAGCTCCGCTGCAGTTTGCATGTCGGCCTGAGCCTGCCAAAAGGGTCAACTGCGTCGCTCTTTCTACTGGCCCAATCATTGCAATCTGCCGGCAGCTCAACTGCACGTCGTGCTATATACAGGCAGTACACACCCTGCTTGCCTTCACGAAGAGTGGTGCTGAAGGAAACGACCTGCGCCTCTGGCGCCCGAATTTCAATTTCAAGCTGCAAAATATTGCAGGCAGCCTTCCCATCAACAAGGCCCCCACCTCATAGCATCACATGATTTTACATGGGCGTCTCCCAAACTCCAGATACAAAATTCAGCGCGGGGTGGGGCCGAAAAGAATGGACGCGCACAAGTGCTCCAGCTGACAGCTGAAGCCCGCCGCATTTTACTCCAGCCCAATGGAAGGAAGTTGCACCTACATGAAAGCGCCATTGAGTTATACAAAGGGCCAGTCGCCGATCGATGCAGCGGGTGACGCTTCCATTTTGCTAAGATTTCATCGAGGTGAGTGAGGAAGAAGCGCGCACGCACGCGCACACGCAAACACACGCAAACACATGCAAACACTCGCAACCACGAACACACACTGGTGGATTTCCGCCCGAGTGCTCAGTCCAAAAATGACTCGTCGTCGAGCCCAGCCGCCTGTCCGAGCACTTTGCACAAAGCCCTTCAGTTATGCCTTGAGCCTCAAGCCTTCCATAAAATACACTCGGCAGCTTCCTAGCTCATGGGTCTGGCAAGTCGAATCGCTCGAATCGCCCGGCCTGGGAGTTCTTGGAACTCGCGCGCAAATTCGACCCCTTGGACAGCTTCTCGTCGAGAGGGCAAGTCCTTCCGGCTTTTAGCTTCGGAAGCGCGAGGTTCTGCAACTCCTTGGACCTCGCCCGCTCTGACGCAAACTTCTCGGTCTTGGCCCTGAACATGGGGTGCAGCGACTTGGAGAGCGACCGCGCAGCGCCCGGAGACTTGGGGGACTGGGGCGCCTTTGGCGTGGGGCTGGCCATCTGCGTCTTCGGTGACAGCAAAGGCGAGCGCTTCCCGTTGCTGGTGCCCTGGCGAAAGGTTTGACTTCCACATGGACCCGCCAGTTCCAAAAGGCAAATGAAATTCTAGTTCATTGCTAGTGACGTGTGGAAGGGCAACTCGCCCAGCAAATTTGGCCTGTCAACCCTTTCTTGCCGCGCCTGGCTGTCCTCGCTGCGGAAGACGGCCTGACATGCCGTCTGTTTGCCCCCGCTCATTTGAATGCACTGGCCACTTAGCACGGGTCTTTTTGGGTTTTCCTCAAGGGACCTTCTTGCAGCTTCGATGGCAAGCAGCAGCCTGCTCAATGCGGGCACACGGTCTAAATGCTCTACATTTGGCCAGCTGGCAATGACATCACGAGTGGAAACCAAGCTGTGCAAACCGACCGCGAAACCAAGAAGAAGAAAAAAACGAATATTGCTCAAAATCAGGGACTCCTCCAAATGCCCTCAAAAAGTACCCCCGACTCGGTCCGACTTGTTTCGTCCCGAACATGGGAGCATCCCCTCCCCTCCCACACCTGGCACAGCGGCACCAGGTCCAGTTCCAGGGGCGTCGGCAGCATCGTGGGCAGGGAGATGGGGAGCATCCCGCTGGATTTGGAGGTTTGCCGAAGGAAGGACTCCTTGGAGATCGACCTCAAAGGACTTTGGACTCACATGCTGGTCGTCCTGGCAGTGTCCCTCAAATCTAACCCCCAAAAGAATGCCCCACAAAAACACGCACTCATCTCAGAGGGACGAGCAATGGCCAGTCAGCTGGAGCGCCACTCTTATTGGAACATGTCGCACTTCCCTTCTTACCCCTGGCTTCGTCCAGCCGCAGATCGCCTCCGCAAGCGAAGCGCTTGCGAAGCGTAGCTGGGGACCCCGACCTCCCAGGCAAACCAGACCTCAGCCACAGAAACTGGGGAAATTTTGGGCCCTCCATGGTTTCCCTTGCATCTACAAAGGATCTATGGGCAAGCTGCCCTTGTCCACTGCACCGGCCTCTCCATGCTGGGCCCTCCGGCGATGAGGAAACGTTGCTGAAGGCGCTGCAGGAGCTGATGCGGCTGATTTTCCGAAGGGGCGCATGGCCTCAAGATGCTCAGAACGGGCATGATGTCTCGGAATGAGCGAACCTCCAAAGCGGCTTTGGCTTCCCTCTTGCACTTCGACAACCGAAAGGAGCAACTTCCAGACGCCCAATTTCCAAACACTACCTGAGCATGGTGTGGGGCGCCAGATGTCAAACTGAAATTCGACCAGATACTCGGCGGCGTCCACTTTTGAAGGTCCTGCGACGCCTGGTCACCCGCATCGCTGGCTTCGGGGGAATCCTGGGCTGGCGCCATAAGTACCGCCGAGTGGCAAACCGGACCCATACGCGGGGCAAGCGTGCCAGTTCCCGTATGTACCCAAACGCAACCCGCCATCAAAGCTGTAGAAATGCATTCTCTGTTCCACGTTGAGTCTCTAGCTGCTAAAAAGCTGCTTTAAATCAAGTCGCGTCACGCATTTCACTGCGCAAGCAACGTGTGTTGACCCTCAATTTCCTCATGCAGCTCCGGCCAAATCCGTAACAGCATCCGAGGACGGAAACATATTGCATTCAGCTTAGCTTTCTCCCTTCGCCTCTCCCCCTTCTCGTCGCTTGATGCAGCAGCCGTCACTTTGTGCAGTGTCAAAAAGACAGGGCCCGCCTTGGAAGGGCCATGATTTTACAACATCGATTGCGATCATTTTACAACACACGCAACTTCACCATCATTCTTGCAACATACAGACCCAAACAGCGCACACACATCGACCATCATTCGCAATGGAATTCTGGCAAGTTTCACCACACTTAGGACCGAAACCGCAAACACTTTGGCCCGCAAAGTGCGGTCCTTCTTTGCAACGCAAGATCGGGCCAACCGACCCATCAGTGTCACGGTTTCTTGCCCCCGGCCAAGCGTCCCCGGCATTGTGGCCCCCACACTCCCGGGCAATGAAACTCTGCGTTCTGGGTTGCTTCAAGGCAGGCAGGACCCTTTCACGGCTAATTCACCCCACGTCTGCCATGTTGGCGATAAGCACACGAGCTCAAGAGCATCCTCTCAGCACTGCGTCCACGCATGCCAACAGATAAGCGCAGCTGCTCAAGCACACTGCATTGTTTCCACGCCTGCCAAATGAAGAATACGCTACATCCACGATTGCCCACGTCGTAGGCTGCACCCACACCCGCACTAATCGACGAGTGAACATAGGGTGTCTCGCTGGGCCATCTTGCTTCTCGGGCTCTTCGCCGGATTTTGATGAGTAACGATTGCCCCCCGTTCTAGGCCACACAAGGCACTCGCGCACAATAATCGCTCCGCACCACGAAACAAGACCCTGGAACCGCTAAAGCCACGAACATGAACTACACCCTTCAATGGATTCTAGCCATTCCACCCAAGGCTGCAAAACGATGAAAAACCGTAGAAACCATTAAACAAAAAAGTGGAAAGGAAACCATGGAAAGCGTAGAAACCATGACAACCATGCAAGCCATGGAAACCGTCAAAAACCTTGGAAAACAATGAGCTTCAACGATCAGGAACGCAGGTTGTCAAACGACGCGCTTGCCCCCGCCTTCCGGCCAAGCCATCACCAATCGCCACACAAAACTGAAACACCGGCGGTCCCCTTTGCTTTTGTCTTCCCAATGTCAACCAAGCGAGGGTCCCATTTTGAGAAACGCTCATAGCAGGTCTGGAGTGGATCCTAGGGGTTGCCGCATCACCCGGTCTGAGAAGAAGCTCGCGTGGATGCGGCGCCGACCCTTCGCCCCTCCATCCATCCGCCCCCTTCATCAAGTGCAGACCGGGCACCTTGTGCTGTACCACAATCTTCCACACTGCATCTAATCTCTGAGAGCAAATGCCTTTGGCAACTGTCTCAGTCCTGGCAGCACGCAAAAAGCGATGACCTTCCATGAAGCGCGCCGACAGTGGAAATCCCTATCAATTGACACACAAAACGAGACGGTGCCCTACAAAACGGCCGCCAGGTGGGTTTAAGGTGGGTTGAAATGGCTTAGTGGGTTCAGGGTGGGTTCAGGGTGGGTCCAGGCCTAGTTCGTTAGGGTGGGTGCAGGTGGGCAGGCTGAGTGGTGGGTGAGTGGGTGAGTGGGTGCTTGCTTGCTTGCTTGCTTGCTGGCTGGCTGGCTGGCTGGCTGGCTGGCTGGCTCGGTGGAAGCATCATCCAAAGGGAAACACAACTCTAAGTAATACAGCAATTGCATAGAACGCAAACCCGGGCCTCTCGGCACTTTTGGAGAGCAACAGCTCGGCCTGGCAACGCGATGCGTAGGCCAAAGTGTCACAGCATGAACCAAGGCGGCCTCGTCCTCAAAAACGAAGCTGCGCTGCGTCTTCAGGGTCGGCCGGCCCTGGCCATGCTTGCAACAATGCGTCAAAACAGGACGGAAGAGCAAGCAGCTTATGCGGGCGCAATGGACCCCAGTCTTCCCTGCACCGACCCAGAGCCTTTTGGCATCCTCAAAAGCACCCACACTTGAACGTTTGACCTTGAGGACAAGGTCAAAGACCGCGCCCCGGCGCCTTGGCCGCGCCGATCTCCCCGCCGATCTCCCCGCCGAAGCTGGGATCTCTGAAGAGGGGCCTCCACCGACCCCTGCTGGACCGCGACGGGGAGCTGTCGGAGCCCACGGAGCCGACGGAGCCCGGCAGCGACACCTCCTAACAGAAAGACCGGACGAGCGCGAGCGACAGACGGGGACAACAAGCAACGAACAACAAACAAGGAACCACAAACAACAAACCAACAACAACCAACATGAGGGGAGGTTAGGCATTTTCCCCCATTTTGGGCACACCAGCTTCGCCCAGCACTTCCGCTGTTTATTTCGCTGGGCGCTGAAGCCGTTGACCGGAAATTCTCAAAGTGCTTTCCGGACTGTTTCGGCGTCTGCTTGCAGGCTTTTCAAGGCAGCCTCGCCACTGGTAAGCCCCACCCCATGCACAGCCTCGAGAAGTCTCGGAAAAAAGAAAAGAAAACAAGAAGAAGAAAAAGTCCGGTTGCAAACCAGCGATCCAAGTCGTTCAATCCCTGGCCTCACTATGTTACCAGAATCAAAGTCACTCCCTAAGTGGCGGGTTGAAGGGAAACAACCCCCTTTTTTGTGACTTTGACAACCCCTAGAAACAATCAAAATAATGACCCCAGAATCCACCATCCCCCAGGTGAGCCCACGTTCCAAAGCAAGTCAAGCGCATGCCACTTGTGCAGTCAAGCTATGATTCAGGAGGCAATCGACTGGAAACAGGCTATGGCTTAGCCATGATTATTTCCTTCAACTAGAAAGTCAGCAGTGTGGCTATGAATCTGTAAAGTTGGAACACAACGCCCAACGGCCCCATGGACATTTAGACACTCGGCACCAATCCCTGCAAGCTGGACTTTCTTTAGGCGCATCCGATCGTGAGCTTTTTCTCGCAAGTGAAAAGCTCGTAGGATGCTCTCTGCAATTTTCGACAGTAAGCTCGGAAAGTTGGTGTAAGTGCTCTACAACTAGCGACTAGCTCTGCGACGCTCGTGTAGGTCTCACTCTTTGAGGAAACTTACTCTTTGCAAGTTGCTTATATAAAAGAAAGCTCTACGCCAAATGACTTGCGAAAGTAGGCTCTGAACTGGTTGATCTGCGCAATTGAAAACAAGGCTCTGGACAAGTTGATCTGTGCAGTCCTTCTCCTCGTGTAAGAGTGCCGTGCCTTTTGCTGAAGATCCCATTCAATGCTTTCGGCAAAGCTTGAAATTCACTTCGATGAGGTGCCCTAGACGCGGAAAAAAAAAAAAAAAACACTTGCAGGAGGCGTGAAGCTTCTCTCCCGCTTGGGCTTTCTTACCTCTCTGACTTTTGGGCTGCGAACAAGCTCCTGCGTCTCACCTGCCGTGGTTGGCGTCCAATCCTTCTCCTGCGCACTGCCAGCATCTTCACACCGTTTTTTTTTTTTGGCGTGGTTCCACTCTCAAAATGGTCAAACGGTCAAATCCAAAAAAGCTAAATCCCAAGCTTGCCACCTCCACCCCCACCCCCACCCCCCCCCCCCCCCGGATTCCTGGCCTGAGGTGCAGGGACGTGGCTAGAAGGCAGCGACAACATGAGAGCAATGCTGCATCCTCTGCATGTAGGAAAGCAGCAAAGCCGAAAGCAAGAAGCCAAAGGGGTATGGCCTGAAACTATAGATGGTCAGAGTCTTTTTGCCCAAGGACTGAGTGAAGCAAATCGATTTAGGCACTCATTCGCTTGCCGATGCCGCGCCATGTCCCTCGAGCCAGCCGGGCGCAAAGTTTGCGCGCGTATCGGGCGGAGTTCAACCCAACCACAATATTGCACTGCCTTCACCCCTTCTCGGGCTACCATGCAATCTCTGAACCTCCCAAAATGCCTGGAAAAAGGGCCTGAGCTCGCTGCCAGGTGCTTCTTAGCCTCCCCAGCCACCGAGAAAAATGGACCTCGGCGCACTCAGCTCTTGAACAGTTCAGTCGCCACTTTTGCGTATTTAGAGATGAGTGAGTGAAACTCCAGTTTTCCGTATGGGCTAAGGATGGTGAGGGAGCCAAGTGCGGTTCCCCTTCAGCTTCCTAAGGGAAACCCCACACAGATTGATGCGGCTTGCCCGAAGCCCGAAGCCCGCCAGCTTGCCGAGCAGCCATCGGTGCACTCCTCCAGAGTGGCCAGCGTCGGAGGATGGCGAATGCCTTGCCTGGCGAAGCCGAGCCCATGTGGCGGGGGAGTCTCACAGCCTCGAGTTGCCCCATTTGGGCCACGCGGACCTGACTGCTGGAAACCCATGCGCAAATGCTCCACTCCGCCGGCCGGCAACCCCGATCTCCAAGAGTTGCGTCCGGCGCGACGAAAAGCCGCTCTGCGGGAGCTCGGGACTTTTCCCTTTCCCGGGCCCTCATTGCCACGGGAATCCACCGAATGCCTGGAGCCTTCACATCTCAACTCTTCAAAGGCCGCTCCAACCAGGCCAGGCCCGCGGGCCCAGGACCTTGCCACTGGGGTTGTACTTGAAGGTGTACACCATATCTTTGTCCGCCTAGCGCGGCGTGCTTGACGGGCCTGGAGCTGTCCATTGCGCCCCTGTCCATGATTAAGCCGATTGAGCATGAGCACCTAAGAATTGTGAACTGCGAGCGCCCTACTCGGAGGTTCATGTTTTTCCTACCGGGCCAAGCAAATTGATATTTTCGCAAGCCCTGTGCCATTGACCATGGGTCCCGAACAAACATCCAGCGCCCAATGCTCAAACCCAACCAAAGCGCCCAATGCTCACACCGAAGCTGGGTTTCGGGCCCGCTGGGCATTGTAGCCCTCCGCCTGGTCTGGGCGGCGGTTCTTGTCTCGCCTGCAATCGGTCCAGCTGGGGAACGAGTTCTGGAAGCCCCCAAACGCACAACCCATGGAGACTGACGGGGGGCGGGGGCTATCCCCTTAATAAGGCCGAAGGGGTCCATGATTGCAGGGCATGGTGGCATTTCAGGTATTGGGAGGTGGTTCCAACTCGGTATGAGTTCCATCCCCTCGCAGAACGTGGGCCATGTCCATGGTCCCTTCGGAATCCGTGCCGCTTCTCCCCCAAAACTTGCCCTCCCATCCAACATGGAACCTGACTGAGTCATGGAAGACGGTCTTCCCTAGGGGATTTTTGGGTGAGCTAAGTCCCATGTCCGTGGACAGGCCACTCTCAAAACAAGACACACGCCCACATGGACGTCCAGAAAAAATCGCGGATCTGGCTCGGGGGCCCCCGCCTGTCACCGTACGACCGGCCGTAGCGATGAAGGTTCCACTGCAAGAAAGGCACCGTCTCGACCTGAGCTCAGCCGCACTTGCCGTGCCACTCCAACAAATGTCAAGCAAATGTTGTGCTCAAACTCAAGGAGGTAACCTTTGAAGAAAGGCAGCGGGCACTCATCTAGGGCGCGGGCATGGTCAAACTCATTCTCTTTGGCGCCTCCAGTGATGTACCTCAGGCTTGGTTCCTGAAAGCAAACATCAAAGAGCTTTGCTTGGCATTTTCCACATGAATCAGTCGGAAACAGCAAAAGTGGCGCTTCAATCAACTAAATCAGCTGGCAACAAGCCTTGCTTCGATTCAAAAAAGGTCTCCCATGAAAAAAACAACGCCGTGTTCCCCACAAAACCAGGTTCATTGCTAGTGTCCCTAATGTGGAGCAGGACCTTCACATCGTTCAGCTTTCGGATCATTTCTCGGGGAAAGGGGGAATTTTCATCTCATGCTACGCCGGCCGAGGGGCGAGAAGCGGACGCCCACCGCGCCCATGTTTGAGGCCACCTTGCAGCCCCTTTCTTCGGGCTGGAAAGCCGCGGGCGTGGAAACTGGATGTCTGGGAAAGAATATTGGGAAAAACCGGTCGTTCAAGTGGTTGCTCAAACCTGCAGGGCCCCAGTGGTGACCTTTTTGGCCCACCCTCCCAAAAAGAGGGAGAGAAAACGAAGAAGAAAAAAAAGGTACGCGGCATGGCGCTTGGTCTGAAACGGAAGCCTGCGTCTGACAACCCCCCTGCGTGTGAACAGGATCCCAGGTTCAAGCGATCGCCCCAAAGGCGGGGGGGGGGGACTTCAAAAATAAGCTTGAGTTTAGCAAGTGGCTTGGTCGCAAAATGAAATCAGCTAGACATCTCCTCAAGGGTGAGGGATTATAAAAAAAAAAATAAAAACATATTAGGCATCAAAAAAAGTTATTTCTGAAGATGAAAAAGACTTATTAGGGATCAAACAAAATTCTTCATTCCGTGGGCGCAGCACTTTGGCAATGCTTTCGTGGCAGGCGCATCACTTTCGCGAGGTCAGATACAGATTCCGCAGTAAGCGCAGCACTTTCGCTAGGTACTGTACAGATTTCGTGACAGGCGCAGCACTTTCGCAAGGTCAGGTACAGATTTCATGGCAGGCGCAGCGCTTTCGCAAGGTGAGGTACAGACTTCGTGCAAGGTGCAGCACTTTGGCATCGCGGCAGGCGCAGCACTTTCGCAAGGTCAGGTACAGATTTCGTGGCAGGCGCAGGACTCTCGCAAGGTCAGGTGCAGATTTCGCAGCAGCAGGGCACTTTCGCAAGGTCAGGCACAGATTCACGGCAGGTGCAGCACTGTCGCAAGGTACGGCACAGATTTCGTGGCAGGCGCAGCACTTTCGCAAGGTCAGGTACAGATTTCGTGGCAGGCGCAATACTTTCGCAAGGTCAGGGCTCAGATTTCGCAGGTGCAGGACTTTCGCAAGGTGCGGCAAAGATTTCGCGGCAGTGCGTTAAGCTCTGTAAACATTCTGAAAATCAGCGCAGGGGTTGGGGGGGGCGGCAGCCCCCCCCAATGATGTTCGAAGAAGTCATGATTCAGCAAAGGGTGCGGTAATCTGTGTGAACATTCTGAAAATCAGTGCGGGGGTTGGGGGGGGGGGCGGCAGACACCCCATGATGCTCGAAGAAGTGATGATTCAACAAAGGGTGATGATGATCGAAGAAGTGATGTTTCAGAAAAGAATGCGGTATTCTCTGTAAACATTCTAGAAATCAGGGGGTTCGGCGGAGCGGCAGCCTCCCCATGATGATCGAAGAAGTGATGATTCAACAAAGGGTGATGATGATCGAAGAAGTAATGATTCAACAAAGGGCGCGTTAATCTATGCAAAGAAGAAGTGATGATTCAACAAAGGGCGTGTTAATCATCCGTTAATCTTTGTAAACATTCTAAAAATCAGCGGGGGTTGGGCGGGGCAGCAGCCTCCCCATGATGATCGAAGAAGTGATGATTCAACAAAGGGTGCATCCGCCGATTCCCAAAACCGATATTGAGAACCTCTCAAAATGTTTCAGATTTCCTTCCTTTACTTCCTTCTTTCTTCCTTTCTTCCTTTCTTCCTGGAATTCCTTCCCTCCCTCCCTCCCTCCCTCCCTCCCTCCCTCCCTCCCTCCCTCCCTCCCTCCCTCCCTCCCTCCTTCCTTCCTTCCTTCCTTCCTTCCTTCCTTCCTTCCTTCCAACCTTCCTTCCTTCCTTCCTTCCTTCCTTCCTTCCTCCCCATAGGAATGAGAAGAAGTTGTTTTTGATCCCTAATAAGTTGTTTTTATCCCTAATAAGTTGTTTTTGATCCCTAATAAGTCTTTTGATATCCCTAAGTTGTTTTTGATGCCTATCCCTCTCCTCAAACACCTGCGGCATGTGTCCAACGCGAGCTCTTCGGCGCAAGCTTCGCACGAAACAACTGGAATCAGCGAGAGAGAGAGAGCAGCTGCCCGGCTTCACCGCTTCACCCTGCTCGCCCTGTCGCCTCAAAACCCGTCCACCCCCTCCTCGCCCCCCACCCATCAGCCCTGGCCTTCACCAACCCCCCCACTTTCATGAAGGATCGAAGCGCACGGAAGAACAGCCGCATCAAATTCTCCTCGGCTCGGTGTCAGCGTCCGTTCACAGGTAACTGGGATGCTGAACTGGCGAAAAAAGGGGTCCCGGCTGTTCCTTTACTGCTTCAATGGCTTGTTTCAAACACGTCCATTCTCAAATGAAACCGAGGGTTGCCAGCCTCACTGTCAAGCATGTACCAGAAACAATGGGAATGCTCGCCTGAGACCACCCCCCATGGCTCCGCTTGTTGCACCTGCGCCCGCTGTCTGCAGCAAAGTGTCGTGCCGCCAATTCACCATGGGGTGGCCATCGAAGAACCCACCCACGGATCCTCGGGATCCGTAGGCTGCAATTAGGACCCCAGCAAAAAGAATATTCTTTGCTTGGATCCCCAACAAAGCAAAAAAAAAAGAAGGGGAGAGCTAGTTCTGGGGAAGAAAGTAGGGGGGCCTGGTGTCCTTTGGCCCTCAGAATGGCACGCCCACCCCCTCAGGCACACCCCCGGGCTGGTGGCCTGCATGAGGGAAGTTGTAGTAAACGGCGCCAAAGGATCCCTGGCTTCGGCTTCGGGCGGCTCCGGTTAAGACCGAATCCTTTGCGAAGCCACGAGCCTGTGGTCGCAAGCCTGTGGTCGCAAGGCCGCTGGTGGCGCTATGGCGCGGCGATTTCAAGACCACTCTGACCATCTCTAACCATCTCCAATCCTGTCCGAGAATCTCTAGCTCGCCATCCGACAAAATCATGACACGTCCGCGTGTTACCCCGCCCCCCCGCCCGCACCAGGCCACAGTTGCAAGAGAATGCTTCCGCCCGGCCTCCAAACCTCTAAACTTTGGGTTCATGGCAATTCGCGTGCAGTCGATCTCATGGTGCACTTCCGCAAAATGCTCCTGGCACGGCGGTGCTGTCACGAATCCCGAGGACCCGCAAGGCAGGAAGTGCAGAGCCCCTCCTCGAGACGTGCGATAGTGTTGTCAATCTCCTGACCAGTCCGATCCCAGCAATTCTCCACCGTTTCATCAAGCAAAACATCCCACAAGCTTGACGATGCTGTGATATTTTCCTTACCTCGAGGGAGGAGGACAGGGTGGTGGGTCCCCCACTTCCATTTTGTTATAGGCTTCCCTTCAAAAGGGAAAATGAAGCTGCAAATCGCTTTTTTTCAGGGGTCACCCCTGATACCCACCCCATTTTGTCGGCATGTTGCCGCCGGGGCCTTGTAGCGTTCCCGCAGAACGTCCAACGACTCGAAGGTCGTTGCGACGACGCGGCCTACATGACCTACGGCGAGGCTTTCCGGAGCGGCCGAGTACCCCGAGCTAGTGACGTATCTCGAGATGCACATGGGGGTTCTCATGATTTTTCCCATTTCTGAGCCCTGGCAACATGACTCGACCGCTGTGAATCGCACACCTTCTGTGCGCAACCCACGGGCCGAGGATCCCACCCAGCGCCGTGCGGTGCTTGGCAAGGTTCAGCCTACTCAGGTCGCTCTCAAGTTTCCGGGTTGGAGAGACCCTTGTTGCCCTTTTTTGGGTCGGCCGGGGTAGGTGAAAGCATGAGCAGATTCCATGCAGGCGCTTTGTGCTGTTCTTGGCCCCTGTGGATGCCCAAACGGGCAAAGGATGCCATGAAAGACCCGGCAGCCTGTGGCAAGCACAGGGGCAAACCGAAGCCTGCAACATGCGCTCAATGTGCTGTCTCAAAACAGGGTGCCCAAAAAAAAAGGCCGATCTTAGTTTTGCAAAAAGAAGGTTCAAGACCCAAACTTTGGACGCCAAGTTGCGCAAAGCTGAGGTTGGCATCGCCAAACACCTCGGCCGAGAGCCCAAGAACCAGAGCATGTGGCACCCATCATGCTTGTGCCAACACTCATCTCTCTCGGACGTGCATTTTAGAACGGTGAGACAACAGGGCTTGCCCTTACGTCGAATGCAAGTTTGGTACATTCCATGCGCGGGCGGCAAGCAAGCTTGCAAGAGGCATATTTGTTGCTCACCCGCCTTTTTGAGTGTCCCGCACACGCTCACGCAGGGAGGTGAGGTAGGCATCCTCCGGCAGGCCCTGGCTCTTCAGCGCCTCCAACAAGGAGAAGAGGTACTCGTCATTGGGCCCGGAGGGCCCTTTGGCCGCGGCGATCACCGCGGCCGTTGCATCCAAAGCCTCCGGACCCGTGTAGGCTGCGCTCTGCTGGGGCTCGTGCACATAGTAAACCACCGCCTCGCCCAGCTCACCAGGCCCTTCCAGCGAGTGCAGAGTGGTCAGTGTGCGGGTGTAGCCGTGCCGCTCCCGGATGTCCAGGGCGGCCAGCACCTCAGGCCAATCGCTGGCCTCGACCTCGAAAGCCATGCCACAGACCTCGCCTTCGCCGTCCACATCCACATCCTCCGCTCGCAGCAGGGCCATGACTCGACCCGGGAAGTCCGGCGTGCCTCTGTGGTCGCAAGACCTTTGCCAGAAGCGCCGCAAGTAGCCGCGCACGCGCGCGGGGAACTTGCGTCGGTAGGGGAAGCCAGGGCGGAAGATGAGAGACCCGTAGCCAAAGACCGTCCGCACCTCTGCGAAGCGACTGGCATCTATCTTGGGGTCCAGCCTGGCTTTCTCCCAGCAGTCAAACGGTTCCTGAGCCATCGACAACGTTGGCCTCTTGGCAAACAGCAGCAACACCGGCAAACAAAGCTGGAGCGATCGGAGCTGCCCTCTCATACCATGGCGAACGAACCTTGGCTCACTGATGACACCGGAAAAATCGGATGCGTTGTTTGCTTCATCAGAACCCGCTGAGTCTCTTGGGGTTTCAAATGGCTGAAACGTGTCGGCACTTGGCTGCTTGGAATGCGTAAGAAGGCACGCCTGGAGCCACAAATGTCCAGCGAGCGTTTTGTCAGGCAAGGTCCCCGGCTGCAAAAAACGACAGCGGAACAAGTGCATGGAAACCAGCTTGCATCCGAAACCAGTTCTACACACATGTAACCGTACACTAAAAAAATGAAATCGGTCTACATCCATGGGTCAAAACCCCGTACCCCCAGTGAACATCCCAATCCCGGTACCACTGGTTTTGAACCATGGCCACATCTGAGCGCAGCGTTCCAGCCCAGTCATCGTCCCCACTCAGCCCGGCGCCGCGGCGTCGGCGGTGGGCTCTATGAGCTCCAGCCGATGGAAGCGGCCCATGGCCGCCAGGCCGGGCGCGTCTGGCGCTCGGGGTGGCGTCGGAAGCTTCGGAAGACAACTTGGTGCGACAGGTGGGGGATGAGGAATGGAATGACCCCATAAACCATCCAACTGGTGGTTTCCTTCGAGGGATTTTTTTGGGTTCAATCCCACAGTACCTATCCTACCAAGACAAGACTGGCAGCAGAGGTGCGCCGCATCCAACTTGCAACTGCCAGAGCCTTGTGCCCCATGCCCCATGCCCCAGCGCCAAAGCTGTGCCTGGCATGCAGCCTTCGGTTCGGCCTTCCAGTGGCAGCGCTCTCTGAGCCTGCCGGAGGCCGGCCGGAGGTGCCACCGGAGGGACATGGCCCGCCGGCCTCCGCGATCAGATCCTGCAACTTCTGGGTCCCATCGTAATGCTCCATGACGTGCCTCAGGTCCTTGCGCCGAATGGACATCGGGCTGGAGCTCGAGGGTGGGGAGACATCAACACACAGCGAACGGAGAGCCAAACGCCTGGTTTTTTTTGCCTGCCCGCCCCATGCCCGCGTCTCCTTGTGCTTGAGGCCTCGAAGCAAACCTGAGCATTCCGAAACGCCGCGTGTTGTTGGAGTGCAGTGTCCTTTTTCAGGGAACTACCCACCCGTGGTCACATAACCGCAATAACAAGGGCCATGTGTTCAAACAACCTGACCCTGGGCCCCTTTCAAGCAAAAGCAGCTGGAGATCAGCCTGTTATAAGCCTGGCACATGCTATGGGCCATGTCTCGTTTCCACAACCCCCCCTCATCTGGTTTTGAAATGGAAAACATACTGAGACTAGCCTGGACAAACCCATGTTGGGCGGAAATTCAAGCCCAGCGATGTTTGTTCTTACCATGGCTTTCATCTAGCTTTGCATAGGCCTTACCATAGCCACGTGAAACTGGGCAAAGCTGCCGTGAGCTCCGTGAACCGAACACAACCCGCCCTTGCCAGGCCTCGCCAATGGAGAAAGAAAAAAAAAGAAAAAACGGGGGGGTCCGAACCATTTGATAGCCGTTGGGTCGTGATGGGTGTGCCCGCAAGGTACCACGTGGGTGTTTGTTCTTTAAGGGGAATCCTTTGGGTGGCTTGTGAAGGGGGTTAGTACGGCTGTGAGAGTCTCTGCCCCGAGGCCACTGCTATCCGCCTCTTGCCCCAGCTTCCACCGCGAGCGAAACGTCAAGAGCCTCAGATTCCGGAAAGGCGACCCATGAGCCACAGGCAGTATTCCGTTTCGGCCAAAGAGCATGAGAGAACGAGGGCCTTTTGCGTCTTTTACACTTTTAAAGGCTCCAGCCCCTGTCGCCTTTGTCACCGGTCCTGGATGCCTTGCTCAATTCTCAATTACTTCCACCAACTGCGGCACTGCAAAATCCTCTGATGTGCTGCCGAGACACGTGTCAAGCGGGCCACCACCGAGCGTCTCTTTTTCTCGAACTCAGCTGTCACAGGTCTGCCGAGGGCAGCTAAGTTCCCAGCTAACTTGCCAACGTGCGAATGAGCTCCCGGCAAACTGCGGCATGGTTCGCAGCTTGATCAGCTGGCGATTTCCTGGGAGCGAGCCACTTTTCATGTCTTCAGATACAATAGGTACATGCCTCCCATGTTCCCAAGCAGGTGTCGTCGCAGCTAGCTAGACAAGTGCAGCATTTTGGGGTTCACACTCGGCCTCGGTACCTCGTACCTTGCATTTTTTCGAGGGCCCAAGGGCCCACAAAAAATGAAATCAGCACAGCGTCTGCCAGTTGAAGGGGTCAGGCTTGAAGCCGGAGACATCCAAGTACTCCAGCTCGTGGAAGGCTAGTCCTTCCAGCACGTGCAGCATGACCCGGTCATTGATCCTGAGCCGTTCAGGCTGACATCAGGGAGAAAGAGGCCCTTCGAAACGCGAGAGAAAGCAAAGAGGGAAACCAACGAACCAAGGGAGAGGGTCTACATCGTCTACATCTGGCAGGGGCCTGCCGACTTTTTTTATGGAGGGTAACATTTGGGCCACGGAAGGAATACTCTGATGGCACCTTTTCTTGAATCCCCACTTAGGGGACCTCCAGTCTGCGGCGGTATTGCCCAGCATTACCGCTAGCCATACCAGTGAAGCATGGAGTTTGGCATGCTAGGCCTTCCAGACGCCTACGGTGAGACTCCATTCGGTTGACGGAGGGCAACGTGGGTAACATGTTCCTGATGCCGCCCCGTTTTCAAACGACCTCAGAATCCAAGCCGTTGGGCCAGGGCCCAGCTGTCTGAGGCTCGTGCGCTGACCACTTCCTCGGGTGGGGGGAATTCGAGTTTCCATGCCATTTTGCAAAGCGCCTGCAACAGCATACAGCCAGAGAACCGATGACAGCATGTGTCAACGCACAGGACGGCAGAAATGCTTTAAGCCAGATGTTGCATGCCACTTCAAGAGATCCAACACGGGAAAAGCAGCTTCTTGCTGGTCCAGCAGACGCAGGATAATCGGCCCCTTCTCCTAAATTTAGAAAAATGCCAGCTTGCGTCAATAGAATCTTGGCAGAAGCCACTAAGAGAGCCTTTTCTTCAGCTTTTGGTGCAACCCCTTTTTCTTGGTGTCCACGCCAGCAAGGCTCTGGACAAAAAAGAAATTGTTCGCTGGTTGGTCAGGATCAGATCCTGACTCTCTTGTGTTTGACAATGGCAATCCCGAAAGGTCCCAACTCCATTGGGACTCTTCGTGCCAAGCCCCCAACCGAGGTCCCACCCCATTCAGGAAACCCACTGCCACAAACAGTTTTCCTGAATGGGCCCCTATTTTGGAAAATCAAAAGTTTAAGCCCTTGATCGCCCTGTTGCTGAAATGACATTTGCAGATGTGTGCTTTTGGAATTGTCCTCTCTCACGCCGGCAAACCACAAAAACAACCGTCCATAACAATGGCCCATGTAAAATTCTGTAGGTTCTGCCCAGCTTCTCAAAGAGAAACCAAAAGGGATCAGGGCAACACAGTGGTATACCCACTATGTAAGTGGTATATACGGGGTATGTATTTTGAACAATTAATGGCCCATAACAATGGCCCAGCACGTGGCAACATACTAGTAGCACGTGGCAAAAGCAACATCCAGCGCCCTCCGGCAAGGCACGACATCAGAAGCTCGATCCTTTCACGGTGCTCGGGCGGTACCCGATCCGTCTTCGCCCGCTTTTTGGTCCCGTCCTTGCACGCGATGCAGACCAACCGCTACTTGGTTGACGTTGGAAGGGGAGCAAAACAAGAATAGCAGTTAAGTGGGGAGTTCCCACTCAACCACAATAAGCAAACCGTAAAAAGTGTCCCAACAACAACCATGGCTAGGGGCTCCGTCACTTGGGCGAGCCATCCCTCTGGCCTCGGAGTCTTCGCTGAGCAGCCGCTTGAGGCGCAGTGTGCCCTCCACCGCGTCCCTGAGGTGCTCCTAGCATGGCCAGACCGTGATGACGCTTATCACCATAAGCCGGTGTTCCTTTGGCGTCCCTTTAGACCAACCCCACCCCAAAAAAAAAGAAAAGCGACCCTCAAACAAGATGCACCCAAGATTTTGGCAGAGCTAGGGGTCCACAGTCAGACCACAAGTGGCAATGTTCCTTTTGTAGTGACTCAGGAGTCCCATGAATCAGTGAGGTCAACATCTGGACTTTGGGAAAACAATAGCTTCGCCACCAACCAGAAGCCCAAGTGGAAAGCATCCAAAACTATGGGTGCATGCAAACTAAGGGGCCAAAGAAGGGCCAGTTTGAAAGCTTTGCCTTTAAGATCCCCATTTGTTCTGTAAAGGAGCTCCAGGCGTTACGTCACGCAAACGCTCTACGCAGTCCGGGGGTCCCCCGAATTGCTGATTATGTTTTTAGGCATCACCCACCTGCGGCAAACCTCTGCTCACAAAATCAGAGTCTGGCATGAAGCGGCGACTGCATCCTGCACATCTTCGATGTCATCCTCCTCCTCCACCTTGCACAACCCACAGGCAACCCCTGTCCACGTCCAACTCCAGCGAACCCCCACCCCGCAAGGGCGTCAGCTCGCAGCTCTCCCAAACGCCAACTTCAAGCATGTTTAGATCAACTCGGTTTGGGGCGCCCTACTGGGTGCTTCATGTGCAAAATGCAGAGGGGGTCCTCGCGGTCCGAGAGTCACTCCTCCCCCCACACCTAAGTTCCTGGCCGTCATGCCGAAGGAGCCGATTCGGCTTGGGCCAATGCTGGAGAAAGAAGGCGGAAGGGCAAGTTTCTGCTCATCCGGGCCCGCATCTTCGCAAACCCTTGCAACCGCACGGGTACCTTCCAACCTGAATTGAAGGCACGCGATAAAATTGGTTGACAGGCAATTGTCCGTTCGGGTCGCCCTCCAATGGGAGAAACTTCTTCGCATCTAGTTGAAGGGCCTTCGTTCAAGATGTTCAAGCTTCATGTGGGCACGAAAATGCAACTCAAGTTCCTTGAAATACTTTTCTGCCAAGGGGTGGTTTTTTCGGACCCGCCAAAGCCCTGCCGCCAGCAGGACGTGTTCAAACATGCTTTTTGGGGCACTCTTGGTTGAGGTTCGATCGCCCGATGCAACCCTTGCGCGCCAATATGCGAATCGGATGGAGAGGGGCGGCTCTTCCCGGTTTTCGGGCACCTGGCAAGACGAGTGCCTCACAAGATGTATCAAAAGTTGGGACTGCTCCAAATGGGCGCATGCGCGTCAAAATCAAGACCCGTACTGTGGCCCTTTGGACAGGACACCCATTGAAGAGCCCTAGTTTTGACAATCACCCTTGTTGGGGAGGGGGGTGGTGCTGCGGCAGTGGCAAGATTGACCCCCCACCCACTACCAAGACCTGCATGCGGGTGCAACCTCGCCCAGGAAGGGGTAGGCCCGCAGCAGGCCAACCGACAGACCTAACCTGGGCCTACAGAGGTTGCAAGCAAGGCAACGGCAGGAGATATGCATGAAAAAATGCAGCTAGCGTTAAGCTTTCACACTGTTGTACTTGGAATGGGAAGGGCAAGCCAAAAGCTTCGAGTCTTCGAGGCCTGCTTTCGAGATTTTGGCTTCCAAATCAAAGAAACTCCCCAAAAGAAGCCCCCGAGCTGTGAAACAGAGAGCCTCTTCTTCGTCCGGCCCCGCGTCGTAGCCCTGGAGCCAAGTAATCTCATCGCTGGAGGAAACTACCTCTGAAACAGCCAATCAGCTCTGCCCGAGTTGGTTTAGAGGCAGGGGTACCTTTCTGCTTCACAAGGACAACAGCAACAACACTGTGCTGCACAACACAGGCTGAGCGATATTCCGAATCCAGGCAAAGTGCCATCCCGCTGCCTGATGGGATGGAGCAGCTTCGAAGGAGCCTGGCGACACAGGAGAGCAAACAGGGGCCCCTTGCATCAGGAATTGGAATCCGGGTATGTGGAATCTGCTGACTCATCGTGGAAGCAGTGCAGTGGTAGCAATAGAAGCAGCAGCAGCAGCAGCAGCAGCCGGCGTAATAGTAGTAGCAGTAGCAGCCGTAGCAGCAGCAGTAGCCGGCGTAATAGCAGCAGTAGCAGCAGCAGCAGTAGTGGCAGTAGCAGCAGCAGCAGTTGTAGTAGCAGCAGTTGTAGTAGCAGTAGACAGTAGCAATAGTAGTGGCATTCGTGGGAGTAGTGGTAGTAGTAAGGGTAGACGTAGGAGTAGTTGCGGTGGGGGTTCTGGCATTAGTGGCATTGGTGGCAGTGGGTGGCGGTGGCGGTGACAGTAGCGTTTGCAATAAGCATCTCCCACAAGTGTTGCACGTGCGTAGGACGACCTGGTTGGGGAACTGTCTTCTTTTTTTGTTCGCTCCAAAGGAGCCAAATGCCTTGCTATTGACGCACCCTCCACCCAGCAGTCATAACACTGGCCTCCGGTGCCATACTGCACATCCCCGTAGGCCTGGCAGCAAGAGTTCCGTGAGAACGCCAAGGTCAACCCTGTTGGCTTTGGCAGGAAGGCAAGCCACCAGGATTTGATAAAGCATTGAACCTCTTTGCATTATCCAAGAAGGCCGCAAAGCACGACACCGATGGCCCCTATTTGCACCCCCAAGCTAAACGGGCGGCTCTTGGCGCCTGCTGCTGGATGGCCCTCTGCTGCACCGCTTGCTGCAGTTGCGCCACCTGCAGCACAACCTGCTGCTGCACTTGCTGCTGCACTTGCTGCTGCACTTGCTGCTGCACCTGCTGCTGCTGCTGCTGTTGCGCCACCTGTCAAGTCACAACTAAGTGAAGGGGGCCAAGGCCAACCCTGCCGCAAAATATGGAAGCTTCACTGCACAGCAGCACCCCAGATCTCGATTGTCCTTCTGAAGCTGCTACTTTGGTCGGCACAGGGATCATTAGAATTCCCCCTCGCCACAAGGTATCACCTGGATTCGACCAGCCATTATAGCAAGCTTCATGGGTCCACAACTCAAGGCCCGCGCGTCCCCCACGGACAGGTCCCACCCATGGCACAGCCTGGTTGTAGGCAGCCGCTGCGCCATACGCCTGGGCGCCAGTCTCAGAGCGGCCAAAAAATGTATGGTGCAGACTCGAACCAGCCGCAGAGACTGCAAAGAAACATCCGGGGCAAGGAAAACAAGCTTCTGCACAGGACTACCGGGCTGTCATGAGGTCAAACTGCCCGCAACCTGCATTTTGCCTGTCGCGATTCGCGCGGATCGTCTCCTGTCCCTTTGGCTCGACGCGGCAAGGCCCTGGTGAGACGACTCATCTTGTCACCCTCCACAGGAAATCCCAGGGCTGGTCAGAAATGTGTGGGTCGCCCTGATTCAATCAGGACCCTGTCACCCCCACTCGATCCCAAGGAGCATCTCCCGAATTGAACCACGCAGAAGTCAGAAGCTTCACTGCAGCACTCTTGATTGACTGCCGGTGGTTCAATCTGGCTATGCCGGAACTTGCCTGACCCTTTGCACGACTCAGCAGGCGCAATAAATGATGCGGGCGCGCGAGCAGCGACAATCAATCGGTCTCCATTCACCCCTCAGCTCACGGAAAGACCACGAAGAGTACCCCTCCTCAAGCGGGCTTGGCCTTTGCACCGCCTGCGACGCCCGCCTTCAGCTCATCGTACCTTGCGGGAATGAGCTGCCGCGGGCTGTTGCTATGTCTTTCTTGCTGGGCATGACCTGAAAGCACAGCGCGATTGCAGCCCTTGAAAGGGCAAACGAGGTAAGTTGACAACCACCGAAGCATTCTGTGGTGCTTGGGGCGGCATCATGCACAAACCTGGGATGTTGAGCTTCTCAAAAAGTGAGTCGAAGTGAGAACGGACAGTGCAACCTCAGCCTCCGCTGCACATTTTAATAAAGACATGCGCCCAAAGCCTTGTCTGTACTGTCATAAAACATTGAACCTGCCCCTCTTTCCTGAAATCACATATGGCCATGGGTCAAAAGCCCGTACCCCAGTGAACATCCCAATTCCCACTAAAATACACTCAAATGGGTGGTGCACCTACCCAAAATGGGATCCCGTTGGTTTTGACCACCACGGCCATGTTGCAACCTTTCCGAATGCTGCTCCAAGCTGCTGCGTCTGCATGACACGCTGCAGGTGCTTCGCGAGCAGCACATGATCCTCAGCATCCTGCTCATCTGCTGGCAAGGTACCAGATGCCCGCAGCTGGCTCAGGAGAGCCTGCCACTGGCAAATCTGTGGAAATGTGAGCCACTTCGTGCATATGCATGTTTGGGTATGTCGGTTGCCTGGTTTTGAAGTCGCCTGCCCCTCAGCCAAGAATCAGTACCACGCAACACCCATTCATTTTAGAGCAGGTCATCAGCTTAATATGATTTTCGACCAAAAATGTGTATGAGCTCCCGTCCATTGAGAACGCTCACCACCAGAACCGGCAAACGCAGAAGTACAAGGCAAGCTCACAACCCTCTGTTTGACTATTTTCAAACCTCGTAGTTGAAACAACCTCCTTTTGGCTTCGCTTTGAATGGTCCAGGGCCTGCATGTTTGAACTAATTGCAAGTGACAAGCTCCTGTGGCTTTGAAAAGACGAATCCCAATCAAGCTTAGTAGTGAATCTCCTTGCGCCACGAAGCTCCAGTTATGGCTGTACAAAGGTTGGTCAAACAAGACTACAACCAAACGAAGTGGCCTTGTCGCTTGCAACCTTGCCCCGACAAATATGATGTATGGTATGCAAGCCTTTCCGCAATCATGTCAAACATCGGTTTCACACACACACGCGCACACACACACAACCACACACAACCACACACACAAGCACAAGCACACAACCGCAGCCACTCCCACACATGTACACTTGTACGCACAAGCGCACGTGCAAGCAACGGCGCTCGCGCACGCCGCACGCACACGCAGACGTACACGTACACGAGTCCTCGTTTCTCTTAAACGGGGGATGCATGATGCATTACATGCATGCACAAACGCACCCACATGTGATTGTGTTTGTGCTTTGTGTTTGTGTTTGTGTGTGTGTGTGTGTGCGTGCTTCTCTCTCTCTCTCTATGTGTGTGTGTGTTTGTGTGTGTGTGTGCGTTTGTGTCTGGAGCGCGCGTGCATCAGTCGTTTCACTTATCCTTGTGCATACCCTCCCATCCACGCACGTCACATGGAACCCGACGGGAAGCTACCGCAATTTCCATCCCAAGCGCTCCATCCGCTGCCTTCACTCCATCCGGCGCCAGCTGCCGGCAGCTGTACCTTACAGAACCTCGGGGCCCACAGCACCTCGACCAGTCTTCCCCAGCAAACAGAAACGAAGAAGAAGAAAAAACACGCCCCTCGAAGACCATGCTCTCAAAGGGTTTTTTGCTGTCAGCCTCCATGAAAAGAGGGTATGGTGTTTAGGTCCAAAACCTGACAGCCTGTGAGGACGTCAAGAAGCAGCGAAATGTGCGATGAAAGCACTAAGACTGAAACTGCTGCTGCTGCAAGGAGTGAAAGGCTAGTTACATAGAAGACTGGACCTAAACCCGGAAAATCGAAGATTAAGCTGTTACTGGCCTTTAGTTCAGTGTGCCCCAAAAGTTGAGAAGTCTGTGCTAATTGTCCTTGTTGGGGAGGAGGAATGCACAATGCTGAACATGCACCCGTTCAAACCCCACTGGCTTCTAGCCCCAAGCCTCTGGCCCATTCGAATCTCCGAGAGGCCCGGGTAGCCGCCGATCTGCGCTTTGAAGGGCCACACGCTCTGCACGCCGTGCAGCACAATGGAGATCAACCGCGCATCGGTCTCCACCGCCTTCCTGCGGAGACTTTAACAAAGTCAGCCCCTGAGTGAACACCAGATTCATCCTCCAAGATGGAAATGGAACGGGCCACATAGGTGTCCCCCTGCTAAACACCCGCCCTATGGAGACCCTGCCTCATGCCGCCGTACCGGAAGGGGTTCAGCGTGTCGGGTGTCTTGTTGCGCTGGCCTTGTCATCGAGAGTAGGTGCACGCTCAAAAAAAAAAGGAAAAAAGCGGCTGTTTCGTTTTGGCGAGGTCCGGAAGACTCAAAAACGCGAGGCAGCCCATCTACAGGTTTTACACGCCGACAGTTCCGAAAGAACAAGGAACATATGCACAGGGGTGGCCAGAAATTGCAGAAAGCTGGCAGTACTTGCGCAAGGTGGCTAGCTACAGCTTCACGGACTCCCAAGAATTAGGCTACTGGGGGTGGCCATTGCTCCTCCCAAAGGAGCGCGGCTCAAAGCGGCATGCGCGCCTTCGGGGTAGTAGCACAGCCACCCGCCCTCCGCCAGGAACTTGTCCACCTGGCCGCTTGCCACAGCGATCACCGACACAAGGAAACAACAATTGTTTCAACTACCTCCATGGATTAACTACCTCCATGTGGTTTCCCTTGGGGGGGGGGCCACCGCCTGGTTGCTTAAAACGAAGCTCTGTCCACCGGCCACAAGCAAAAGGTCACCACTGGACAGCGCCGATCCATTCGCGCCTCCTGGTCAACTGCCTCATTCCTTTCCTTATCCACCGCAAAGACGCCATTCTTGCTGCTAGTGAAATACACCGGGAAGTGCCCAACAGCACCTCATCTTGCTTTCTGACTGCCACAGTCCCAGTATGCGAAACGGATAGCTGCCACCTAGACTTCAAAGCGTACGGGCTCAGTTGCAAAGCCACCCCCCCCTGGCCGGCTGGGCAGTCACCCGGGAGAAGGACACTTCACCACTACCCCCCACTACTTTCACTTGACCTCCAGGCAAGGAGCGGCAAATCGTGGCCAGAACTGGAAGATTGAACAAGGACGAGTCCATGTAGGTGCGACCTCGGGCTGCGGCCATTGCGCTTGGCCCCCCATCATTTTTAAAGAGCCGCCGCCGGCGGCCAATGCAAAGCCAAGCGGCATCTTCTCAGGACCGCGGTTGGCATGTTGGTAGTCGCCAGGATCACGTCGAAGAAAGACGCGTGGTTGCCTCCCAAACCACCGGTGCTTGCACGCATTTCTCTCATGCCCGCATGCCCGCATGCCCGCAGGTCACCCAAAATCCCCCATCGGCCTAGAATCATCAGCGGGTGGTAGGTGTCCTCCAAGGATCGGGCCACGCGCTTAAACATGTGTAAACTATACCGCGGTAAAACCTCATCAACCATTCCATTTTCTTCCAGTCCTCTCCCGCCGCCACCTTCACGTCAAGCTCCGCCATCTTTTTCTGCATAGCCCGCCACCTCTGCTCAAGCAAGCCCAAGCAAACACGGGAAGCATTGGCCTCCCTTTGAACGCAGAAAGGCACCCACCCATTGTGAAACATCCTCAAGCCTGGACAGGAAAAGATGGCCCCTGATACCAACATTTTCTTTCTTGCTGCGATGCCCGTGAAGCGCACATCCTGTTTGCATGGCCTCAGTAACACGAAACAAACACCTTCAAACAAACAAAGGGCTCCGGAAACGTGCCCAAACCCCGCTGGCAAACAACCACGGTGGACGGCTCCTACTGCGGCCGCGTTGCTCCTCTCGTGTGGCCTGGCATGAACAAGACTCCCCAAACATGGCAAGACTCGTGGGACACTTCCGGACTTGGGAGCCCTGGCCATATGCAAATAGTCCACAAGTGAGCCCGGTGCTCCTTACCTTCACCTCTGCCAAAATGCAGCCAGGTGCAGCCAGGCAACCGCATCCGTGCGGTTGGACACCCAGGGAGTGAAGAACTGCGTAAGGCGCCAACAGGCCTTGGCGTAGAAAGCACAATGGATTGTGTCCTACAAATGCCCGACAGGCAACACGAAACCCCCATCATGCAACCCAGAACGCCCCTGAAATGTATCTGCAACCTCAAATCTGGCCAGTCGCCAAGAGATTGTTGCTCGAGGCGCAACAATCCGAGGTCCGACAGGGTTACGGTATAAACTTTAACTGGCTGATCTTTTGGCCGACATCATTTACATTGGGATTGGCTGCCAACCAGTAGGGTTCAAAACGAAACCAAATTTCAGCGCCATCCAGTCAGGGCACCTGCACCAGAGTGAGGGACACACCCTCGTAGGTCCTGCCAAGAGCCAACCCATCCCGGAAAATGGGCCCAAACTTCCACAAAGCGAACAGAGACGGAGAACCTAGGCATGCGGCAAAATGCATGTGACAGTGTCCTCTTGGACATGGGGAAAATGCCTCAGCATTTGCAGTTCAAGAATTCGCACCCCATCAAACACCTTAGCAATCCATCCGCTGGCCTTCACACGCGTTTGGAGACCAAACAGAAGCCTGGACAAGAGCTTTGCTTGTTCTGTGGGCTTTGGCAGGGCCAGCTACAAGCGCCTGTTCCTTGTAGACTAAATACCCACATTACGAGCCACGCAGCCCAAGTGTGAATGAAGGAAGCAGTTGTAGCCTTCCATATGGTTTGGAGGGGTTTCTGGGTTCTGTCCAATCCATTGCAAAGATGCTCCCCCCCCCCAAAAAAAACAAAAAAAAACGCAGCCGCGGGCGTCGCTGGTCTTCCATGCTGGCCGAGCTGCTCAGGAGCTTCATGAGCCCTGCGGCCCAGAGCATGTTCCTGTGAGCTCAGTGGCGCAAGCGGAACATGCGACGGAACGGGAGAAGGAGAAGGCCACTGACCGGCCCGAAGGCTGTCACACACATGGGGCCAGAAAGGCGAAGACTGGACAAGTTCTACTGAGCGGCATGAAGCTGACCATTGTGAGGGGTTTGTGGGTCGCTGGTGCCTTCAAAGGCCAAAGGAAAGCAAGGAATGGCCCGCACATGCTGCTCGGATCCTCTCAGAAGTCCAGAAGAAACTTGCCCAGCTGAATCTGCAAGGCTTCCTTCCCTTTCCCGGCATGGAAGACTTCTCTCCCTCATTTTTCTCCGCACCTCCAACACGTCTCCCTCCCAAAAACCTATCCGCCCTCTTGGGGCCTAAGTCCGATGCCCCCCCCCTGTCAGACCCAAGGCGCAGGGCAAGGATCAAGCCATAGGCACCCATGGCAAGGCTGCCCAGCATGGCGCCCATGAGCGCTGGAACGCGGGGATGCGTAGAGCCGTGCACAGCTGAGGCGAACTGAGACCTTTGCCCCTGGCAGCGGCACGCAATCCATTGCACCGCAAGCCTGCTGACTGTCGGGAACAGAAGCCAAGGTCAACTATCAGAATAGCTGTGGAAAGCCATGGACACGCGTCTCCTCAGGAGGAAGGCCGCTTGCGCTGTGTGGCGCCAAGGGCCCCGCATATGCTTGCTGCTGCATCTGCTGCTGTACTGGCATCTGACCATAAAAACCTGGCGGCTCTGCAAGGCTCAGCCGACCCCTTTCCCCCAACCCCTTTCCGGCGCCAGGATCATTTTCAGTGAGAAGCCCGCCAAGTGGAAAAGGGGGAAATCATAGAATCCTGTTGGAACGACGACATCAGGGTTGCCTGCAGGTGACTCTGGTTGCGACCTGCTTCCTCCCACCGAAGCTGGGGATCAAAGCACGAAGCACGTGGCATGCGATGCCGGATGCCTTGCTGCGGCAGCTGTGGCGGCGCTTGCGGCGGCCTCAGTGCGCCACCCGCCCGCATGGGGTGTCTCAGAATGGGATATGATATGGCATGTGGCTTCCTTATTTGGCTGTGGCTCAAAAAACTGGTGCCAAAAGGGAACCCTGGCAAGTGGAAACCTGGCCCAAAGCCTGCTTAACCCCTCCTGTCTAACTTTGAGCCACACCCATTTGGGGTACTGTTCGCTTGGCTGCCCTGAAGGCAGCCCCGAATGGGCCACCCTCACAATGAAAGCCAGTGTGCCATTGCCGGCGGGGACTACAGCATGCCACTGGTGCGCACTGCTTGCTGGGAGTCCGGCACGTGCGGGTGCCAATTTCCGGCCATCCTGAGCATCCCAAGCAGAAAAAACGCCTTGGCGTCAAAGAACAAATCCACGCGACTTGGTTGGCTTGGTAAACTACAAGTTGGTGCACATGATTTAGCCAGGAATTCGCATCTACTACCCATGTTTCAAGGTGCTTGCCATGAAAATGTCTACTCTCTCCACATTCGAGGCTGTTGCCCCTTGAAAACTCCAGCGCAAACCTCCCCGCCTGGGCGACACCGTGCGAGGCGACGCCCCGCGGGGCGAAACGAAGGGCGGCACGGGGCTCTGCGGCGGCAGCGGCCGGTGGATGGCTGGAGGCCTGAGCCAATCGGAGGGCCACCTGGAGTTTCAATCCAGATCTCTGCGAAAGGTCCTGGATCCGAAAGGTTCACCTCTCCCCAAAAGAGGCTTATAAAATGGGTTGGATTTTCCAGGGAAGCCAAGGGGTATGAACAAGTATGTACTTCCACCCTTAGACCCTGGACCCTGTCTGAGCCAAGGGAGAAGCCGTGCAAGTCTGCATGCTCCCTATGGGTTTTCTGCTGGGAGTCAAGACCCCAATCGCGAGTCTCCAGGTCACGATGGTGAAAGCCGGGGCTAGGCGGCTAGGCCCCATTGTGACTATGGATGCCAACTTAAGTGAGATTCACAAACTCCGCACTCAGATTCGTATGGTGATCCACTCCAAGGTTGATCTGCTGAAACGCTGTCGCGGTCACACGAATCAATCGGAAAAAAAGGACCGCAGTTGCCCGTGCCCCAAACAACTTGAGGGAGCCAGAACGCATGAAAGTCCACTCAAGAGGACTATCTGTCACGGCACGTCTGCGTTGGAGCGTCCCCCTTGCACGTGTTGACACAGTCAAAGAACCCACTGCGGCACTTACAAGAGCCAAGCCCATTTCCAGTTGCAAAACCCCACCTGAGGCGACCGCTGCCTCCCCCTTTGCCATGGCCCACGGGTTTTTTTCCGGGGACCCCCGCGGGGTGCGGGGCGGCACCGGCGAGGCCGGCGAGGCCGGCGACACCGGCGACACCGGTGAGGCCGGCGAGGCCGGCGAGGCCGGGGTCGGCTTCTCGGGTGAGGAGGGCCGCTCTTGGCCTTCCTGCAGCATATCTCGAAAGAATAATACCGGTGAGCAAGGAAAATCGTGCTGGCTGCGTTGAAATCAAGCGTGAATCTGTGAAGTATTTTTGACGAACGGACACTGGCCCGGAGACGTGAAGAGCAACAAACTCTCGAGACGTCACTGTGAAATATGAAGTTCACAAAGATTGCTTGACCTTGGATCATTGCTGATGTTCACAATAGGAATCATAGATGACCAGTTTGTAAACTCAGGATGTGTCTAGAGAATCAAGCGAACAAATTAGCGTGGACTTTCTTTTCTCGGCCTGGCGGTTCTGTCAAATCTGCCCGAGAAGAACCAAACAAAAAGATGAGCTTGCATCGTATGAATGGCGCGCCAATGGCGCGAAGGGGAGCTCGTGAACCAAGGGTATCCGTCTCTGGTAGGTCCCTGTGGACCCCTGTGGTCCTATCCAGGTTGCCTGACCAAAACTGTGCAAAGCCCCAAGGCACGACAGAAATGAAAAGCGGGAATGTAGGTGACGAAGTGGGCCAAATGAAGTGTTGAGCGTCAGCAATGCTCAGGGGGTAGTTGAGACAGGGCAGACTAAACGCTGGCAGCCTTTAAAGGGGCCAACGCTGCCTTCTTCACTAACCAGCTTTGCTGGAGTCCTCTTCGTAGGTATTGCCCGCAACACCCCCAACCACCCACACACGAAGCTTGCGAATCAGGTATTGAAATAGCAAGTCTAACCAGGTGGCAAGGTCAAACAAGTCCGGCCCAGACTGGGCGGGAGTCGAACCATCTGAAGCGCATGACAAGTTGCCGCGCCTGCACAGTCGCTAGCGCAGTCCTTGGATTGGCAGAGTTGGGAGGCTGCATGCTGTATTTCCCTGACCCGAGGAATCTCACCAGCTTTCTCCAACACTACAACTCTTCATCCTCCATGTTCATCTTGCAACATGGGCACGCAAGACTTGAGCAGTGCGACACTTCAACTTGGGCAGCTGCTGGGTTTCTTCGCCATGGCCTGCAAACCATTGGCCGTCAAGGTGCGCTGAAGGAACCCTAGGGTCATGCTAGGCACCCCTCCGTTTTCATGTGTCTAGACCGACACTTCCCACGTCCAGTCCACCGAGCGCCCGGCCCGCTTGCCGGAGACCCTGGGCGGAGCTGCATCTCGACTTTTCGCGAACTACCAACCCACCCACCCACCCACCCACCCACCCACCCACCCACCCACCCACCGGCAGGCAGGCAGGCAGGCAGGCAGGCAGGCAGGCAGGCAGGCAGGCAGGCAGGCAGGCAGGCAGGCAGGCAGGCAGGCAGGCAGGCAGGCAGGCAGGCAGGCAGGCAGGCACATAAACAAACAAGCAAACAAACCAACCAACCAGCCAGCCGGCCAAGCAATCAAATCAAATCAAATCAATGAATCAATATGAATCAATTGAATCAAGCAATCAGCATGAATCAATATGGATCAATGAAACCATGAATATGAATCAATAAATCAATGAATCAACGAATCAACGAATCAACGAATCAACGAATCAATAAATCAATGAATCAATGAAACAATGAATCAATGAATCAATGAATCGATGAATCGATGAATCAATGAATCAATGAATCAAGGAATCAAGGATTCAAGGAATCAATGAATCAAGGAATCAAGGAATCAAGGAATCAATGAATCAATGAATCAATGAATCAATGAATGAAATCAAATCAAAACCAATTTAAATCACATCCAAATCAAACCAGTGAATGAAACAAGCATCAAGCAAGCAAACAATCAGTCAATCAACCAAACAAGCAAGCAAGCTAGCAATCGAGCAAACAAACAAAAAAACAAAGCAACAAGAAAACCAAGAAGAAAATATACACAAACAAGGCCGATCAAACCAAAAGAAACCCACAAAACACAACACCCTCCAGTTCCAAAAGCCTGGGGGCCCGCCTGCGCCTTGGGCGCTTCCGCGCCGGGCTCGTGCGCAGGCGTCTTCCGGAGCCTCTTGCCGGGCGTGTGCTTGTGCGAGGATGCCCCTTTCAAGCCTAGTCTTGTCTTGTTTTTGTTGTTTTGCTTTCGGTGGTTTTTTTTGTGGTTTGTTCTTTTGCTTCTTTGGGGGCTGCTGCCCTGACGTTCTTCTGTTTGTTCTTTTGTTTTTTTGGGGACTGCGGCCCTGACGTTCTTCTCAATTAGCTGTCCGCTTGAATTGCAAGCGGAAATCAGGAGGCACCCCTGGAGATTCTCTGAGGAAAGGTGTAGCGGAGGGTGTTCGGAGGGGCAAACCGGCCAGCATCGCAACTGCTACACGTGGGTTGCTCTCACTTGCGAACCTGATGAAAACTGCCTCTTGATCCTTCACTTCAAGCTCTTGCACCAGCTCCGTGCAAGTGGCCGACGTCGAGTTTTGTTCGCCCCCAAGGCCCCGGCTGTGAAAAGTCGGGCAGCTGGATGGGCGCAGAGGTGCCAAAGGTGAACCTCGACTCAAAGTCGTTCACTTTGAGAAGGAGCTGCTGAGTTTCCAAACAAATCCTGCGAGGAACGCCAGAACGCCTGCCATTGCAGCGGTTTTTTGCTGCGGTGTGTGGCTGTTTGTATCTGTGGACCTGCTATCACTGCAGCGCTCGGCCGTTTTCGGCGCGGCTGCACCCGGCGCGAAAGGCGTCCGCTCATCCTTTGGAGCGAATCCATCGGGGTCATCCACGAAGTCCATCTGAGCCAGTACCGCGCAGTGATCGGACGCCATCTCCTCAGCAAGCGCATCTTCACAGCTTACTGGCCCCGTGCCCAATATGGAGAAGGCACGACGCTGAGGAATCAGGGAGTGACCCCAAGCCCGGCCACCTAGAGGTCCAACCCGTTGCTTGAAGATGCTAAAGCACCGTTTGCTTTGACATGATTGCCCAAGCTCCTTTTGGCTTCCCTTGACTAAGCACAAGGGTCTGGTCAACAGATCCTTTCCAACCCTATCATACTGCCAACCTCAACCCTAACCAGGGCACATCCGCCGGTGTGTCCCGCAGCACGCGGATGGCTTCGCACATGGGGATGACGTCCCCTTCGATGCGCAAACCGAAGAGGTGGTCCACCCTGCGCCGCGGCACACGCAGAGTTGTGCAAGATTGCTAGAACAACTCGTTTGGAGGTGTGGCTCCCTCAAAAAAAAAGGGAACCAAAGGAGCTTCCGAAAGGAGTTGCAAGGGAACCAAAAAAGAGATTGTGAACAATTGGCTGGCCTAAAGCCAGGCATCCGCGAACCGCCATTCAGTGCCGTGAGGAAGGCGGATGCACAAACCTTGCTGCCACAAGAACACTTGTTTTAGAAAGAAAAAAGAAAAAACTACCTTGTCCGGCCACAAGGCTGCATCTTTCTCTTCGCCCTCTCAACACATGCAGCAACATCAGAGGGTGGGGAGTGCTCTGCGGACCTGAAGCTCTGCGGCTCGGCCCGGCCGGCCTCATGCCAAAAAGGCCTCCGCACCAGTTGGCGGGCACCGTTGCTTGGCAGCAGCACGGCCCTTCGGCCTCCTGGCGCGTTGGGACACGCATGGACCTGAGTTCTAGGTGTCCCTCACCACTCTGCAGCGATCACGGTGAAAGGGTACTGACAGGACAGAAGGCTCGATAAGTGACTAATGTTGACCCGGGATTAATCAACCCCTGTTTATCAATATGCGGGTGTCCCCCTCCAAAAGTTATGAATCCCCACTAAAACCAGGGACACCGCCATATCAATAAAACGGGGGTTATTAATGAGGGGGTCAACCTTAACCACCTTGGCTACAACTCTGTTGCCACCCTGACGACTGGAAAGTCACGGTCTGTGAAGGTCTCTTGGACGACCCTCCGGCGGTGTTCGCCAGAGGTCACAAGCAGACCAGATGCACCAAGGAAAAGCCCAACTTCGAGCGAGAAAAACACCTGGGGTGGAAGAGAAAGATGCTTACCTGACAGTTCCCAACGACAAGGCACTGCAAGCTGCACAAAGCATCCTCCGAAGCGGGGAACACACTCCTAGAGTTTCGAAGGTGTGGACAACCAAAAGGGGGCGACAAACAAGACGGAAGTAGTCCTCTGAACGTCTGTGCCAAACACCAAAAGGCACCCACTTTCCCGGGAAGCCTGCCTCCTGACACACAGCAGTATCAGATTATCAGGGCAGCGCACTTCAACCAAGGCAAAGACCATCCAACTACGATGCAACAAGCTCGTGGGCAGGGACACTGAAGCGTTGTGATTCAGCTGATCCATGCGTGGTTGAAAGCCTGTCTCACAAGTGTCTGCCTTTGAGCGGCTCTTTGCCCAACAATGCAAGAACCGAAGCGCGGCAATCAAACATCTCGGTCGAAAACAGAAAATCGCGCCAGGGTTTGAGACTGCTCCAAATCCATAAAAGCCAGTTGATGCATAGGGTTGCTTGTTCGCACAACTTAGCCATGCTCGATGGCAATCCGATAATTTACAAAAATGCTGGCTCAAACCAATCCAGCTTTTCAGGACCCGGACAAATGCCAATGATTCATACCAGCGAATCCTTCCCTTGACTAAGTTGAGTGAGTTGCCTGAATTCCGTCCACAATGGTTCTTCAGCACTGAACTGGTCCTCCCAAAAAGTTTGAAGTTCAGGAACTCAGGGAGTGCGGTGGCAAAGTTCGCTCCTTCCAAAGGTCCCGCCACCGTGGGTCGCTGGCAATGACCTCAAACCGCATCGAGTGTCTTCTTGAAGATGCCCGTGGCACAGGTGCGTAGAGTGTGAATGGGAGCACATACCCCTGGTTGTACTCTTGGGTTTCTGTGTTCCCAGCCCGCTCTATGACGGATGTGGAAACTTTTTATGGACCATGGCAAGGCGGGGGACAAGGCAGTTGACCTGGCATCGATTTGCTCGACATGCCTCTCCCATCTAACTGGGCCAATTACTCTCATTCTCAAACCGGGCAGAAAAATATGCAAGGGGCCTACCCCCCGAACCGAGCTCCTACAGACTAAGGCTCGCTGTAGCCACTGCGTGGCATGAAGAAGGGCGAGTTGAGGTCGCCCGCCAGAAGCACCGCTGGCCTCGACTCGCTCTTCGGCACGTCACAGCTGGATGCCCAAGACCCTGAAAGCTTCGCCCCAATTGGAACCAGGCACCACACATTGGCCGGGGTCTTGCGCAAACGCAGGCGATTCATCTCAGATTGACGGCACATAGAGGAGAAGGGAAGAACGATGAAGAATGAAAGAGGGAAACAACATCTCTTTCTTGCTTGCCTGTTGCAGTGGTTCGATTTTCTGCGTCCAGCGGTCTCTTTCTTGTTGTTTTATGTTCCTCCCACCGTGCGCCGTGCGCACAACAATTTCTGCGCATTGCAGGCGTGAAGCTCAAAACTCGCTTGGGCTCCGCTCCTCGAGTCGAACTCCAGACTAGGGCCCGAGCCTGCGGTCTGCGGCGCGCAGCCGCTCAACCCAGGCAAGCGCCTGCGCAATCGGGGAGCGCAATTCCCATCAAGGGAGCCTGGGTTTTGGGCTTCATGCCCAAATTGCATGGCTTTCTCAGCCTACCGGTCTTCTGGGGCCAGGCTGTGACAAACAAACCAACTGGCAACCCAAAGGAAACCCACAGAAAATCAAAAGGAAACCCCTTTTTTGGCAATGTCTCAGCAACGAAAATGTGGCAAGGTCTCCATGATGGAAGGTTGGGACTTGTTCAAGAATACAAAACCGCCTTGTTAGTCTAAAATGATCTCCACTACCCCCCCAAAAAAAAAATCTCTGGTGATATCCCCAACAGCATGCGGTGCTCTTTTTAGTGCTCGCAGCACCCCGCAGTCCTCGCAGAACCTCGGGTGGAACCCTGGTGGCACCCTCGTGGAACCCTGGTGGAACCCTCGTGGAACCCTGGTGGAACCTTACTTCAGGGTCGCCCCGGACCACCCCGGAGTCTATCTGGGCTGAGACCCCAAAGCTTTCAGCTGTTGGGGAAAAAGAGTATGAAACCACCATGGAACCACCACATGGGTCTGTGCGTGTGTGCGTGCGCATATACGTCTATAAGTAGCTACATATCTATTTTACACACACATATAGATAGACATACAGGTGTGTCTTATTGCTGAGCGTCCCCTTTTGCGAACGCAAGAAAAGATAAACACCCGCTTTGCTGGGCCCTCCTTGAAACAAATCCATCCATCTCCAGTTTTCCCTTTCGCCTCCGAAGCCTGGCGCCGTTGTTCCTGCGAGCCCATCCTGGCAACTGGACGTGACCCCTGGCAGGGAATGAGTTGGAATGACCCCCCGCATGGCTTCCTTTAAGGGAATCCCCTTCCGGTGGCATTCCCAACACCCGGAAGATCATTCCCTACTGAGCACCAGCAAGCCTTGGGGAATAGCATTGCCACTTCAGGCCATCCCGGAGCAAGGAGCGAAAGCCGGAAAGTCGCTCACATGAAGCGCGCCCAGCGGGACCAATGAGACAGATGCGTGTTCACCACCCAGACAGGCCGAGCATCCTCGGAGGAGAGATCCAAAAGAACCTCGGCCAGCCAGCCGGCGCGCATCAGGCACCGAAGCTACCTCTGTTTTCAACAATCATGTAGCTGGACTGGCGGCCCATTTCAGCTGAGTCTTCCCGAACACTCTGGGTCCACCTGCGGCTGTTATGAACATTGCCACCCTCTCACCCGCTTCCCGTTGGCCCCCTCCCTTTCAGCTTCGCACAGCCATCGCCCCTCGGGGCTGCTCCTCTCGGTCCATGTTGATGGTGTCCCCCATCTGGCGCGCACTTGGAACACGCGCGCCCGAAAGGAAACTTCCTTGTGTAAAGGACATCCGCATCAGTCGGCATGAGTGATGGGTAATTCCCGGACGCACCTTTGCGGAATGTATGCAGGAGTCTCCGTCGGCCGCTTAAAGGCAGCTTTCAAGGAGCTATCTGGACATTTAAGTGGTCTGGAAGCAATCAAACATCAAATGGGGAGTCTGGAAAACATCTGAATTCCCCAGTTATATTTTTGAAAAACCAGAAATCTGTGCTCTGGGTGACTGGCCTCGGGGCGCTCAAACATCAGCTGCCGCTTGTCCAAGATGGGAAACCTGCCGCGCCATCGCGCGATAGCCCTGCCTCTCCGCCTCCATCCCCTTATTTTCCCTAGAAAGCCGGCCATGTCGCAGCGACGGCATCGCGCTTTCAAGCTTCAGCCGGCAGACAAAGTACATACGTACTAGACCTCGATATGGCATGAAATGACCCACCCACCCTGGCTGAAGTTCTTTGAGCTTTGAGTGGGTATGATTCCAATGGAACTTAGCCACACGTCAAACCTGCCTGCCCGAAGCTGGGCACCCGGTTCCCCACCCCCACCGCGCCTGGTCACAACTGCAAGGCCGTAGGCCGCGTCCTCGGACTGCACCAGGACTTCTCCACCCCAGCACTTGGCCTGGCAGTGCCGCAAAGGACTGCAAAAAAAAACCTACTTCCGACCAACCGGTGGTCAAGAGTCGTTGAAAGGCGTCAGGCACTCTGCTTTTCTTGCTGGTGCTCAGGGAATGAGGGAATGAGGGAAGGACCCTAAGGATTCCCTACAACAAGCACCCGTTGGATGGTTGAAACAGCATCTCATTCCAACTCCTTCCCTGCCACTAGAGCGAGCGAGCGAGCGAGTGAGCGATGGCACGCCCCGCCGGCCTCCAGGCAGGCGGCGCGCAGCGTGGGGGCGAAGGCGTGGGTGCGCCAGGCCGCAGGCCTCGGAGATGAGCTGGGGCTGGTGGTCTGCGTGCCTGGGCGTTCTGGCCCTCCATGCCCCTTACGATGTTTGCAAGGGGAGCCACCTGAAGGACTTAGAGGGGCAAGGTATCTTGGAAAGTGTGTTCTGGCTGGTGGGCAAGATGTTGAGCTCTCCATGCACTTGCGATCTATCTCTGAAGGGGGAACGCTTAAAAAGGGGCGGAAAAGTGGTAGGTAACCATGGATATAACCCACTTACCATGGTTGTAAGTCCCTAAGTGGGGCGCAACCATGTGCTGGCAACTTTCCAAGCACCCTGCCCCTTCAAGCAAAGGGCGTTGTCCAAAAGACGTGGGTTTAACATTTTCAAGCAGGGCCCTTGCTGGTCCTCGCCTTCAGCCAGAGAAATTGACCCCGTTCCATCATTGGCCGAGTCAGGACTGGGCCCTTCATTGGCGCGGAGAAAACAAACCTGAAAATCGCTGGCTTCCTTGTGCCTTCCTGCAAACCCGCCTAAGTCTGCCCCTCTAGACGTGTGGCCTTTTTTATCCAGGGTCGTTCTATGCTTCATGACTTCACAGTCCTCGTTCCAATGGCTCATCCAATTAGTTCGGAGGTTGGGGGTTGTCCAATAAACCCTCTAATTAGCATCTACAAGAAGAAGTAGGGGTTCAAATCCCCAAACCAGAAATCCAAACCCGGAAGTTGAAGGCCCCTTGATCACGAGAGGGTTCTGCGCATTTTTAAACAAAATATCGATCCAGCTGCGCCACAGACCACTTCCGCGCTCGCTGCCGACGCTTGTTGGCTTCCACCTCCCAAAGCAGCGCGGCTTTTCGAGCATCAGTTGTCCAGGGGATCCACAACACACACGCGCACACACACACACAGCAAGAGAAAGCAGATCACCCTAAGTTGTTCGAACCTACAACACACACACACACACACACACACACACACACACACACACACACACACACACACACACACACACACACACACACACGCACGCACGCACGCACGCACGCGCGCGCGCGCGCGCACCCACCCACACACACACACACACACACCCACGCACGCACGCACGCACGCACGCACGCACGCACGCACGCACGCACGCACGCACGCACGCACGCACGCACGCACGCACGCACGCACGCACGCACGCACGCACGCACGCACGCACGCACGCACGCACGCACGCACGCACGCACCCACGCACCCACGCACCCACGCACCCACGCACCCACGCACCCACGCACCCACGCACCCACGCACCCACGCACCCACGCACCCACCCACACACACACACACACACACACACACACGCATACACACAGCGCTCCAAAACAAAACGATCACAAGGCCGAAACCGTTGGAAGGGTTGCGGGCTGCCTATTGCCCCTGCCAGATTGCGCGACGGCAGGAGCCAGGCCACTTGGCAAATGATCAGTTCCCTCCCGCATGAAAACCTGACATGTGACATAAAGCATGTTGAGCCGTGGAGAGTAAAATTGTCTTTCAAGTAAGTTGGCCAAAGCTCTATGCTGGTGGGAGGGGGTGGGGGGGATTGTTATGCATATAGCCAGCAACAGAATGCCACTTGGAGAGGTGTCAGAATGCGTCAAAGCAAGAAGCCCGCTTCCGCGTGCCTGTGTTCAGGGATGCTATCTAAGAACATCGACTCCTCCTAGTTGCATGTGGCTTTTGAAGGAGTCCTAGGCCTGTCCAACGAAAACCCCAAGGGCAAAATCCCTGGAGCAGGCTGTTTTGGCAGGCAGGCCTCCTGCAAGCAGACAATGTCGGCCTTGGATCTGCGGATGACCCCGGCAATGCGCTCCACATCATAAACTCCGTCTGTCCCGATGCCGGAGTGGATGTTGTAGGTGAGCACGCCCACCATCGCTGGCCCGACTCAAACCTGCTTCTTCACAAGAAACTCGGCTCGCTGTCTGGCACCAGGATATACCTCAGCCCCCCCTTCTCCTTTGGATGGATTGTTTGATCTCTGCATCGCTCCGCGCTGCCCGCGCCCTGGCCTTGAGCCAAAACGCTCGCACCTTCCAAGCCGACACCTGGGCCTGTGCTAACGCTGGCAAATTCGGGCGCTCACTCGCAGCCGTCGTCATCATCCTCGCAGACACAGGCATTAGGCGTCAGCCAAAGGGAATCACAAAAAAAGGCCCTAGAACCTGCACAACCGTGAGCAACTTGCAACCTGCCTCCTCTCCCAAAGCCTTGCTGCGCCTTCCACTTGCCTGGGCCCGGCGCGCGCCTTCTTGCCACACAGGGGCCCTTACATGCCCCACGTCCCACCAACTTGGGTGCTGTAGATCCCCCAGCAAAAAGTTAAACTTTTTGCTGGTTAAGAGGAAATGTGAGGGGAATCCAAAAAGTTAAAGCCTAAAGATCCAACCCAATAGCAGTAGAGGAAACCCATTCAACACTGGCCCAGGGCGACGTTTCAACCAAAATGAGCACCACAGCCGACCCTCCAGCCCGAGGTTCAGGCACCTCTCCCTGAGGGACCTGGGCTCTTTGCGGCCAATGACTTACACGCCGGTGAAATGGCCTGCAGACAAACATATAAACATGTATTGTCGCTTTTCTGAGGGAACATGAAAAAATGAGACTCTGCCCTATTTTTGAGGAAAACTTAGTGAGTCTCGCAAATCCGTCTAACTTGAAGCATAGGGTACTGGACATGTTGACCGAACCTCGCGTCAGTCTTCTCGCCTCATTTTCTTTATGGGGCCCCACTTTGTCACCCGGCCGCAAAGAGCTGGGGCCCGCACTGCTAATTGGGGACCTGCCAACGCCCAGTGCTGGTTTCATTAACCAGGCCGCTTGGAATTCGACGTGTTTTGGGTGCATAAGCCATTGAACACGCCTAACGCGCTTGGGTGCACTCCGCTTTGTGAAACCCCGCTAGTTTGTGGGCTTGGTCTGTTGCCCTCTGCATCCCTCCAGATCAAGTGACATTCCGACCATGCTTGGACCATTTCAGCTGAGCTTAACTTGCACCTGTGTGTCGAGATCCAACTTTTGCTGCCGCGGCCTCTTTTCCACTCTTGACTCCCCACGCCCCGCCGTGAAGCGGTTACAACTGCTTCTGAGCTTGGAGGAGACCGCACCGCCCGTCGGAAAATCAGATCTGGCTCTTCTTTCGGTCCTTGAGCATTTTCTCCTGAGCGTCCGCGCCCACGGACAGCGATTGAGGCATCCTTGGTTGGCAGTCCCTCAACGGAAACCGACGCAAACCCGGAGCACCCGCCTTGAGATTCACATGAAGCCCCTTCCCTACGGATTCCACCCTCGCAATGAAGCAAGCCCAGAACCCAGAGGGGGGAACCAAGGAGTCCAGTCAGGCAAAAGCAGATGGCACAACCTCCTCAATATGGCTTCGTCCTCATTACGGACACCTGGGAATAATTCCATCGACCTTTCATTCGTATCTTGCCAGTCACTCCGCCCCCCCCCCCCCAATGGCTTGCGGAGCTGCTGGATGGGGTTTCCCCCGGGCCGCAAGTCTTCCGGGACCTGCGCTCCGAAAGCGGCGGTGGTGCCAGGGGAACATCTCACTGATGTCTTCGAGGGGTACAAGGAAAAATGCCAAAACCAACAGACCCGAGGGGCAGGCGGGACGTTGCATTGCAGAGCAACCCGGAAAATACTTAGAACATCCGGAGTTGCAACGATGAGAAAAGCAAAGAGCTTGAACTCGAAACTCGGAGAAAACCCAACACATAACTATGGGAGCAGCACACTGTTTGCGCAGAATCATGCAAAGTGGAATTCGACACCACTTGGGCACATACACGCACGCACCTCAGCGGCACACAGCTGACTCGTTCATGGATGAACTGCGACGGCGATTCCTCTACACGGGCTGCAAAGTGATTTGTGTGGTGTGCTCGGTGGGCCGGTGGTACTTGGCATTTGTGTATATATTGTGTGTGTGTGTAGCTGTGGCTTGCCAGCACCTTGGTTCAAAGGCAAGGTGCTTAGACGCTTAGCTGCTTGGGTGCCTCTTTTCAAAGAATAGGCTCTTGGACTCTTAGGCTCCTGGGACCTCTTCTTGATTTGCGTGTGCGCACCTGCTCACCATGGTTTGGGGCAAAAAGGAAAACCGCCACAATGGCAATGCTGGGTCGTGACACAATACTCGAGCCTCCCAAGGGCAAGTGCCGACAAACGAAAATCAAGTGACTACAACAAACTCATCTGTGGAGGGGTGGCGAAAATCAGATCCACCCTCCAAAATTGTTTTTGAGAACACCACCACCCCAACCCCTCGTTCCAACAACTGCATGCATGTATTACATTCCATCACATCACATCACATCGCATCACATCACATCAAATCACATTACATTACATTACACTGCACTACATTATCATACCATACATTACATTACATTACATTACATTACATTACGTTTCATTACATCACACCACGTCACATTACCATAAAAATAACATAACATAACATAACACAATGTACATACTTACATACATACACTACATACTTACGTTACGTTACGTTATATTACATTACACTACATTGCATTACATTACATCACATTACACTACATTACACTGAATTGCATTACATTACATACATACAGTACATGAAAACATATACGTATGTGCATATATATATATATGTACATGTATTTATATGTATGCACATATATATATATATATATCTATGTATGCGCCCATGTGCATGCACAATGAAACCAAAAGCGAAGGCCTGGGACCAGTCCAGGCGAGGGCCCTCGGGCCACTTGCCGTAGGGGTTCACGCCCGCCACCTGCGTCACCTGCGAGAACCCGCGAACATCCCGGGGGGGAGGGGCTGGCAAGGGGCAAGGGGGGGGGGGGGGCGGGGGAAAGAAGGGAACATCCTTCAAGGAAAATATGGGCAGGTCAATGTCTCCAAATGATCCCCCAAAATGAAAGCGGCTTCCTTTTTTTGGCGACGGAGAGTTCTCCTTTTGTGGGGAAACACTCAGATGGGCACGATTCTTGCTTGGGACACTTTCGTGGACATCCTGCCTGCCCATGACAACTTATGTCCACAAAACATTTTGCAGGAATCCCTAGCCCACTGAAGAGTTTGTCATAATAGGCGGACCAGGCAAAACGGCGGTTTTCCTTTTGGCTCTCAGGAACACAAACACACACAAACAAACAAACAAACAAACAAACAAACAAACGAAAGACTAAACAAACAAACAAACTGCACAAGGCCCGTTTCACGCAAGGCCCACTTCACACTGGCTCCCCTCAATTCACACGGCTTCTGGCCGACGAAGGTTTCGTAGTAAACTTGAGAAAGGGTGGACCGAAAGCACCGCTTGCCATGCGCGAACCATCTGTGAAATGCAAGCGGCCCAGAAGATTGAGAGGACGATGGCAAAGATGTACACTCCGATCCTTGGAATGGTCAGAGTCTCTGACAGAACCTACGGCTTCCAGCCGCTGGACAAGATAATAGGTTACTCTTGAAAACTAAAGCAGAAAAAGCCCTAGTATCCCACGCGATGCATTCAAACAAAGCTTCTTTTTGAGCAAGATCCCAAGCACCGCCCCAATTTAAGCCCTTGACTGAATTGTTTTGCATTAACCAACGTAGCTTCTCACTAAGTATGTCTGTGTCCAGGCCCCTCAACTGCTGGTACCAAGCCCTTCGGCGAGGCACTTGAAGGGGTTGGCCAACAGGTCCATGTCCTGCACCATCCAGCAAATGTCTCCCCATGGCGGAACCCCTCAAAGAATACAAAAAGGCACCGTTACTTGGCTGAATTAGGTACCCCTTGCAAATCTGGCCTCTTTTTTGATGCATCCTTTTAGAAACCCTAATGCGTGACCCGGTACTTTGGTAAGTCTGCAACGGAGGGGCCAACATGGACCAAACAGCATGCAGCGGTCGCCTATCCAAATCTCGCGCAACTGGCACGCGAAGCTGGGAAAGCAATGACGAGTATACTAACCAGACTGCACAACGAGAACCCTCCGGGAAAAGGACAAAAAGGCCACGACATGTGTTCCGCGCACGTCCTCCTCCGGATCGGGATTCCACTCGCCCCGCTCTGGCGAGTCGTCGCGATCGTCCATGACCCAGATGTCCTGGCTGGCGCGAGGGAAGAAACCCTCCAATTTAGAAACGCTTACAGGCATCTTCCTGATTAGCACCCTCTCTCCAAGAATCGTGGAAGTGCACATGGGGCTTTGCCCGAAAAGGAAATGTAGTCTAGTCGTCCAAATCGTTCTGTCAGCTTCCATGATTGATGAAGGAAGGGTGATTTAATTCTCGGGATTGTGTCAACTACTCCAGGGCCAACGTAGATAGCACAATTCGCCTGATGAGGGTAAAGGGGCAGACTCGACCAAACCAGGCGAGGGTGGAATGAGGCCATCGGCTTTCTCAGCTCCCCGCGGAGAGATCCACGGCTTCCAGCATCTGCCCGTCTTCTCAGCGAACAGCGGGCTGCAACCCACGCTCCACCAAAGGTGTCCAGGTAACCGTCACACCCATAGCATACCGTACACTGTTCAGGTTGGTTTGAAGTGAGTCCAACCACGGATCCAACATCTTTGGGATCCTCCCCCCTGTTTTGACACTGGTACTTGAAGATCTGTTGTTGAACTTGCGCGACTGTCTGGTAAAGCAATTTTGGCCTGCACTGGGAGTGTTGGTGGGAGATAGGGAACATCAGCGTAAGTCTGGTGAGGAATTTGGTCGACCGTGACTCCCGTTCTAAGATTGGATTCAAGGGACCAGGTTTGGATTTCTTTCACCAAGACCGAATCAAAGTGGCACTTTAAAAAGGGCTCTAAGGGCCCCGGGCAACTGCATTTTAGACCTGTGCGAGACCCATGTCTCCAATATGCCTTGCCGTTCACCCTTAGGCCCCAACACCTGTGACACCTTCTTACAATGGGAAGTCGAAGGGAAAGTGTAACATGAAGGCCTAAAACGCTCCTGTGTTCAACCCCAGTTGGTCGCGACCCCTTTTTTCAAGGAAAACGCTCCCAAACCCCCCAACGTCCCAAAGGAAAGCCCAGAGGCTTTCCACTTCACATGGCTTGAGGCCGAGCCGCTGTACATCAGCTCGCCATTGCCCCTCAACTCCTGGGCCTCTGGCGGGATCCCAGTGACCTGCAAGGGCGAAGGGTGGAGGGCCGATTTCCTCCAAGGACTGGGTCCCGAAACTTCCGTTTATGGAGAACAACAACATCACCTATTTTCGGTATGTTGCCCTATTTCTGGGCATTTTCGGGCTTTTCAGACGCCAAAAAACACATCACCTGTTTACCAGCATTGCGACTTTTGCTGTGGCAATGTCCATGCTGCACTTGACTTGCTTGTTGAAGGTTCAGCGCTTGAGATACACGGTGATGCTTGGAACCCGCGGGTTCCAACGTTTTCCGCAGATGGCCCCTTCAAGGGAAGTATCCCTTGCTAGGGGGATTGTTTAAAGACCCAAATGGCAGTGTGACAAACTAGCAACCTATTTGGGTGATTATAAGGGAAGCAACGTCAAGCCAACCGCTCTGGGGAAGATTTCCTGGCTTCAACGCCTCTCCGGGCTTTGTAAATCCACGCCTTCTCGATGACCTTTCTAAGGTCCTTGACCTGGTCACCGCGGTTGAACTGAACTTCGAAGGAGAGCTGGCCCGGCTGGTTCACCCAAAACTTGCCTCGCTTCCAGCACAAAAGAAGGGCGACCGCTAGAAAAATGTGTGCTTAAAACAAGCAGGCGATGTACCCCAAAATACCTATATGCACCAGGCTCTTGGAACAAGTGAAACTGCTTCGGTGCCTGGCCCGAGCCTGTACAACATCCACGGGCAGTCCCACACAAAACCCAAAGTGGCTGGCAAAGGTTGCGTGGAATCGAGCTTGTCACGGCAAGATAGACAAAACGCCCGGACTCCTTGTCTTTGCAAAGCTAATAAATTCTGGAATTATAGATCGCATATTAATAAGTGAGAAAGGGTAAAAAGATAATGACAAGGAATCCAGAAAAAAGAAAAGATAGGAAAGTTATTCCTGATCCAATAGATGACAGGTAATTCCAGGAACAAAAAGAGTCTGGAAAGTATGGGATTTTTCTTGGCATAATATTTAAATCCCAAGACATGCATCGGGGAGAAGGTAATAAGACTTGTAATAAATATTAAATTGCAATGACAAAGAGAGAGAGAGAGAGAACGAGAGATTGTACATGAAGATGAAAGCAGTAAATTCTTAGTATATACCAACATTTTTTCTCCGTTGAAGATTATTCCAGAGAAGGTAGCAATTATAGCTCCTAAAGAAAGAACAAAACAAAAATGTGCTAAGCTGAAAGAACCCTTGCATTCTGAGCTGCCCAAATCCTCACCAACCGGAGCATCCTGCAAGCTGCGTACAGTGTGCTGCCACAATCCATCAAAACCTTGTATTATAGGGGTCCCAAAGCAATGTAAAGACTTGAAAGGGCAAAAAGCCGCACTTTATGGTAGTCTCCTAACTCTCATCTAACCATCTACCAAAACCGACTTTTATTTGGCCTGCTTACCCCCTACCAAAACCCAAAATATTATAGTCAGCCCACATCGGCGCAATCATGGAGAAACTTCAGTCCTGCTCTGCTGCCTTTTGGATGGCCTCCAGTGTCTGCTCCTTCTTCTTGCGGAGGAGTTCAGTACTTGGCGCTCGGTGCTCTCTCCCTATCTCTCCCCCTCTCCCTGTGCCAAAATCAGCCCAGGTGCGGAATGAAAAAGATCACCCGTTGAGATTGCAGTGCAAAATAAATAAATAAAAATCACCTGATTATCGCTTGTTGAGATCCTGTATTTGGAAACCGTCTGCTCAAAGCTTGACTGGTTGACAGTGGTTGAGGGTGAGATCGATCCAGTGCAAACCATCTTGGCTACTGTCTTTGCCAGGCTGGAATCCTAGCAGAGTTACCATAAGACCGGCAGACACGTGCCAGCCTCCTGCTAACATGGAGGTCTAAGTCTGGTCACGTGGACATTGTCCAGTCCTTGTCCTTTTCTAGGCACTGGTGCGCAATTGACGCCAAAGATCCGTCGAATATGGAAAGTAAATGAGGCTTCAAGAATTGGACAAAATACAGTTTTGTGACATACTAAAAAAGCGGCTGCCTGCCTTGCACAAGCTCACCTGACAAGGGCTCTAAGTCAACCCGTCACACCGTTGCCCTGTACGATGCGAAGACCATCCAAGGGCCTCTCCACCCCATGCCGAGCCCCAACAACAAGGCGCCCTCCTTGCCCAACCCCCTCCCCTGCTCCCCCTCCCCCTCTCCCCCCCCTCCCCCTCCCATTTCCGGCGTGCATTCGCAACCAAAGCTCGCTTCATCCTCCGTGGGCATCACAGCGGTGCCGCCCTCCGCCCTGCGGGCCACCGAGCGGCGCCCTGGCGGGCGCCAGAGGGGTGGGGGATCAAAAAATACTTATTCTCATTGATTTATTATTAAAAATGAAAAATCAGAAGATCAAAAAAAAACTTTTTAGGCATCAAAAAAACTTCTGCATTTCATTTGGCGGCTTTCGCAAGGTGGTGACAAGCGCAGGACTCTTGCAAGGTCAGGTGCAGATTTCGCAGCAGGCGCAGCACTTTCGCAAGGTACGGCACAGCTTTCGCGGCAAGCGCAGCACTTTGGCAAGGTCAGGTACAGATTTCGTGACAAGCGCAGGACTCTTGCAAGGCCAGGTGCAGATTTCCAAGGTACGGCACAGCTTTCGCGGCAAGCGCAGCACTTTGGCAAGGTCAGGTACAGATTTCGTGACAAGCGCAGGACTCTTGCAAGGTCAGGTACAGATTTCGCAGCAGGCGCAGCACTTTCGCAAGGTCAGGTACAGATTCGCGGCAGGCGCGGCACTTTCGCAAGGTACGGCACAGCTTTCGCGG